GGGACTATGAATATTAACTGAATATCCTGTAATATGACAATCTGACCATTTAGATGCTGAAACATTTTGGTCTGCATCAGGTTGTTTGATAATCTCACAGATGGGCCATTCATGAATAAAAGAAGCACCTCAGAATTCCACTAATTAATATTCTAGATTAAAGAAAATATATATGCATGCAGCACGGTGGTGCAGTGGTTAGCATTGTTGCCTCACAGCATGAGGGTTCTCAAGCTAGGGGGTTTGAACGTGATGTATAATTGAAAATTGAATCTCAGAAAGAATTTATTTTAAAAATGATATATTTTTCATCTTTCAACCTCTATGAATCAGGTGTAAATTCCCCTGAAATCATCACAGACTGAACCGAGACATTCTGCAAGAGCATGTACAGGATCTGCACCACTCCTTTGATTGCCTCCTTTAATGTCCATAAAATGTATACATATATATGTAAAATGCATTTCATAAGACTCATCTGCGGCTCCTGTTCTGATGTTTCCCTCTAAGCTCTAACAACGGCAGTTCCGAGAAGAAATCCAAAAAAGACGAGGAGGGTTTATCCCTGCGAGGCTGTGAGAGCCCAGAACGTAATTCCTCTGACAGCAGAACGCCACCGGCGCCCCTGCAAGGGAAACACGACTGAACAGTTCAAGAGTGTATGGATGAAATTTAATCCACACTCTTCACCTCCTTCAATAGGCAGGCTGATTTAGAGCCAAGTGCACTTGGTGGCGGTCTCTGAGGAAGCGCAGACAACAAACCTGGAGAATGCACAAGCATCTGTAATGATACATTCAAACTGTGTTACGGGGCTCCAGAGGTTTTATATCATCCTGCACACTTTTCAAGTAACTTCCTGGAATTTGAGAAGTTTAATGCTTCAGTCAACAGGTTGACATCATCCTCATACTTTTGTTTCCTTGTTGTTTTGAGAAATCTTTTGAAATGTCTGCTGTCAAAAACTCAAATGTGACTGACAAATCCTGTTGTCTGGAGGGAATAAAACTTCAGGGATTGGGCACTGAAGAGACAGCATAACAATTGTGTTGTGGTGGAATTGTATCAATACAGATTTTGTTGTTTTAAATTTGTATTTTTTGTCTAGATGTGGCAGCACACAGTAACGTGGTGCCATACTGCAGAAGCAAAAGTATTGTGTGAATCAACAATAAACACAATAAGAACGACTGAAAATGTTCATTATTATTGAATCCTCTGTGATACTGATGGATTTAGAGACAATCAGAGGTGTGAGCAGACCAGCCCAGGTGCAGGAAGAAAATAGAAAATGTTGACACATATCATCTAAAGTGACATATGAACTGACTTTGTCGTTGGAAGGTGGAGGGATGGTTGATGTTGTGATACCTGCCAAGCTGCAGATCACCGCAGACCGACACAACACAACCAGTTGGTGTATAGCTACTTGTTGCTGCATTTTCAGCCAGGATAATGCCATGAAAAGCTGTTTAGACATCGACAGCTTCTTGACTTGTGAATGTGCCACGATAACCAGGTTTTTAACCCAAAACATGATCTTGTCCTATCCATAACCCACTGGTTTTTGTGGCTAAACCTAACCTAACTAACTGATCTTGATCCAAAGGCAATTAGCACAGTCAAATCAAGACCAACATGCAAGTAGTCAAACAACAAAATGTATAATGTCCATAGATGACAGATAATAAGGGAAAACAAAAGAGAAAAGGAACGAAAAATAAACAGAAAAATAATAATGACATGTTATAACTGACAGAGCTGGGCTTCACCTTCTCAAAAATGTCCTCCTTTGGAATCTCAAGTTATGTGTTATTTCTTCCATATAATGGACTAACCACAAGCACTCCAGCCATGACTGAAATATTGGACTTTAACCAGTTCACTGGGAGAATACAAAGACGATATGAATGGTTTCTGTTTTAACTCCCAGTACAGCAGCCAATGGTTCTTGGGGAATCTGTACCTCAAAAAGGGAACTGAAAACTATAGATCTATACTATATCTACTATAGATCAAGTATCGCCTCAGTTTACGTGACCAGAGAGTATGGACAAAATTGGAATCTGTTTCTCTACAGTAGCTCCAGCAGTTTCTGGAAGGTGATCCACGTGGTGTTCTGAACTATCTCATCATTCATTTTCTCCATTTAAATTCTCGTCAACTCTCAGAGGAAGTTACCAAGTGAGATTGGGAGCAGATGTCCTCCCAAGTCTCAACAGAGATTCCTTGCTGTATTTCTGCCCCCTCCTTTCTTTAATTTAAAATGAATCATGTGATTCCATTGATTTGAGTAAAATACTTAACAAAGTACTGCTCAGTCATGGGCATTTGATTTTCATAGCTTCCTCATGTTGGCACAGTGGGGCAGTGGTTAGCATTGTAATCTCACAGTAGGAGGGTTCCTGGTTTGAATCCCAGGGTGGGGAAGCCCTTCTGTGCAGAGTTTGTATGTTCTCCCTGTGTCAGGTACTCCAGCCTCCTCTCACAGCTGGCCGTGGTTTTGAATGTGAGTGTGAATGGTTGTCTGTCTCTATGAGAAATGTGAAAGGTCTAGTGATTAGACCCCATCATGATGTCATATATTCAGGAGCGTAGTAAAAACATAGAAGATTAGAGTCTAAAAACACTGAAACATTGCGTACATTTTTAAAGTGTGAAATGTCAGCTCCATCCGGGTTGCTAAAACCAACAGAAAGGTATGAGGACATTAGCTCATTGTCCTGACTGGTGACTACAGCCCGGGCAATGTCTCCATGTAGCCAGTCTGTGCTTTAACCTCTGACCTTTTTGGTGGGCAAGAACTGATGCTACATCTAAAATATTTCCATTTGGTGGAATTACACGGCCATAAGATATTTGGAGTTTTAATATTTGATTCAATATTAATATAATGTAGTTTGACTGCAGAGCTGGAGCAAACTGAAACAGAATATATGTGTGTGTGTGATTCAATCAGGCAGGATGTGAAAGGGTCATTGTAACCTTTTTATAGAGTTACTCAGTGGGAAATAAAAGGAGAAAATGAACTTTAAAAAGAAAAAAGTTTGTGGTGCAGACCTTCCTGGACAGCAGCAGTCACTGTGGAACACAGTCAGCCGAAGAATAAAAACCACACCTGCTTATTGTCTGTGGTGGCTGCCAGCTGTGGGCCCCTCACACACACCTCTGTATTCCTGTGTCGCAGCAGGCCTTTGATCAGGTAATTGCCCCCTCGGCCCCCGGAGTTTGCATCAGCCATATGTCGCTATGGCGACCGCCTCTCCAGCATCCATCTGTGTGCCCCCTTCACAGCCTTTTTAAGATGGACTTATATGTTATGAGGCTGTGAGTGATGGAGGAAAAGGGCAGAGAGGCGCTACAAGAAGCACCCCAACCACTTCAGCAGCAGCCTTTTGATGAATGTGTGTGTGTGCTTTCTATCTCTCTGTCTGTCTCTCTGACTATCTGTCTGTCTGTCTGCCCACCCACCACCCATTCGAGATGCTCTCCATGTCAGCGTAACCCCCTGGAATGATGAAATGCATTTTTCTCAAACTGTAATAAGGAATTGTCTTTGTTTCACCGTCAGCGCTGAGACACAGCAGATCCACACATGCATGTTATGAGAGGATCAGAGTGCAGGTGGAGCTCAGGGGACACACTCTGGGGGCTCAGGACGCTGTTTGAAGACACTTTGAGGAGGGTGACACATTTTCTGTTGCAAATTCTGTGAAGATATTAGGAACTAAAGTCCCAATGTGACTCATTTAGATTCACAAAAATCACATATGTGCAGCATTAACCCCTTAACATTGAGATTTTGTCCTTTTATTTCCTTTTAAGTAACTTTAAAGTTTTTAAATTCAGGTTTTTTCTCCACACTTTGTGAGAGAATCCCATACAATATCCTGTTTCATTTTTGCAGCTCTCAATTAAAGCTTTATGATGTTTACGTAGAAAGAAATATTCACATTTTTTGCACCTTTCCATCCAATTTAAATATTCTCTGAGCAATTTTGGACGCAGACACGAGTTTAAGTGCCAATAGGCATTGGGTTTAAACAATGCCTATTGTCCCACCAGTGGGGTGAGAGGGTTATTTAGCCACACAAGGAAAAAACAAATCCACACTTGAAGCTGCACAGTTACAGCCTCTAAAAGTGTCACATTGTGTGCCTTGCTTGAGGGCACTGCCATAATTATGCATATCTATAAGTATGTTGCAGGTGCTGCTGGGCAACAAGAAAATGCATACCCATAGAATAAAAGATTTGGAAACGAGACAGCAGCGTGGATGTGGTTTCTTTTTCATATTTAAGTGCAGATGTTAAACAGCCCATTCAGATCTTTCAATGAGAATATATATGGAACCGTGTCCTGGATAAGAGCTTTAGCTAAATGCTGTAAATGGGACTGTAAATTTGGATCCTTAAAGCACCTTTATGCAGCTTATACTCAAATGTTGAGTCTCATTCCTAGGCTGTCAGATACCGATGGTTGATGATCAAACCGAACCACGAACCCACTCGGTATCTGACGATGTTGGAATGAGAAGTTGCATAATGTTGCTTTAATTTCCAATTTTCTAATTGCCACATACACACTATAAAAGTATTTGAACATGTAGAAATTAAATATTATAGTATTTAGAGTTAGGCTGCAATTGATTGTTTTTTCATTATCTATAAAATGTTAGAAAATATTGAAAAATACATTATAAATACATCACAATTTCCCAATTTCAATTAGCCCTATGTGACGTCGTCAGTTGTTTCTTGTCACAAATCCAACAACACTTAGCCTAATTTACAATGATATAAATAAAACATCACAAAATAAAGCGCTTTTTTTTTTCATTTTAAGCTTCTTAAATTATCTAAATGATTAATCGATTATTCTGCTGATTGGATTCAATATGTTTAAGCCTCTTACCACTTGTTTTAAACCATTTAGTTCGCAGAATTTAAAGCGTAAATCTGTACATGAAATAAAATCATAAATCACGACTTCTGAAAATATATGAAAAATTATTTCTTTATTGAACATTACAGAACAGAATGAGGAACATGGAGCTTCAATCAAACGATCACAGCTTTATCTATGCATAGGCTACAGACACCTGTGGGAATATGTCAGTACTGATAACGATGGCGATGATCAACAGTAATCATTATGAGCCCTCTGTTCATCCACAACAATCTCTTTGTGCCGGTTTCAGGGCTGCTGCTCGTCTCTATACCTGGATTTCCATCACGGTCTGCAGAAATGACACTTGATTATTTTCTTGAAAGCGCTCTGAAAGTCTTTGTTGAAGTACGCGTAAATGATGGGGTTGAGTAAAGAGTTGGAGTAACCTAGCCAGTTGATGACATCCTCCAGCCAGCGGGGCATGTAGCACGACTCCTGGCAGAAAGGCATGACCAGGGCGACGATGAAGAAGGGCAGCCAGCATAGGATGAAGGTGCCCATGATGATGCCCAGAGTCTTCACCGTTTTGCGCTCCCGCGCCAGCGCGATCTTCCTCTTCGCCTCGGTCGCCTTCTCGTGCCGGCTCTCGAACAGCGGCACGGAGCTCGGGGTGTTGGGCAGCGGCAGGTTGCCTTTGGAGTTGCTGTGGACTTCGATGATCTCCAGAGACTCGCCGTCCTCCGCGTGTTTCACCGCGCCATTGACGCTCGGCAGCGGCCGGGGCTCCACGCTCCTCCTCCAGTTCTTGCCCTGCGCGTCTCCGGGAGTCTTTTTGTGGAACAGGGCTGGAGACAGCGCAAGGCAAGAGTCAGATACTTTCTTTTTCTCCGTTTTACGCACCGTCCTCCTGATCCGAAACCTGGCTGCTTTGAATATCCGCCCATATAAAACCAGCATTAGTGTCAGCGGAATGTAAAAAGCCCCGAAAGTTGAGTATATTGTGTACCAGGGGTCTTGCCTGATCTTACACTGCTTGGGGTTCTTCCTGTCCTCTTCCATGCTGCTGGGCTGGGAGCGCATGATTAACATTGGCGGCACTGAGATGGAGAATCCGACCAGCCAGGTGACACTGATGAGGACGGCGGCTCTCCTTGGCGTCCTCTTCTTCATGTACTCTATGGGCTCGGTTATTGCCCAGTACCTGTCCAGAGCGATGGCGCACAGGTGCAGGATGGACGACGTGCAGCACAACACATCCAGAGAGATGAAGATGTCACACGGAATCTGCCCGAGAGTCCATCGGTTTAGCACCTGGTAAAGCGCCGCCATGGGCAGCACCAGCACCGACACCATCAGGTCGGTGACAGCCAGAGAGCCGATCAGGTAGTTAGCCACATTCTGGAGAGACCGCTCCAAGGCGATGGCTGCGACGACGCACGCGTTCCCAAATATTGCGCACAGGATGAGCGCGCCAAGCAGGAAAGATGTGACCACTTGATAACTCAGCTTCACCTTCTCGTCTTCAGGTTTGGGTGCTGGAGTGGAAGAGTTGACCAACTGAGACCAGGCTGTCGTGTTGTTTGTGCCCTCCATTGTTGGTAAACTCGAAGCGTTTGGAGAGCTTTCCGTTACTTGATGGAGAGTCTGGTGCGCATCACACCGTCGCACCTTGAAGAGCGCATTGTGGACTGTGGCACTGCTTCGTGCAGCAGAGAGAGTCTGAACTGCGAGTCTCGGCTGCTGGCAGAGAATGATGCTGCGTATTTATACCAGTGATGGAAAATGCGTCATATGTCTGTGAGGATGTAACAGAGTCTGCCTGGTTGTGTCTGTTTAGTCGGCAGCTCCGGCACTGAAGATGTGGGAGTTATTAGACAGACATATAAAAACTTTCATTTATTTTGTTTGCTCTTCAAGGTGCAACTCAAATCAAGTTGTGTTTTATTTTTACTTATTTTATCATTATTTTTATTATTATCATTCTAATTTTCTTGAAAAAGGGCGGATTTGGGCATTTCGGTGAGAAAAGAAGCTTTTCAAAATATCCTTTTAAATGACACTTTTTGAGTCTCATTTTATTGATGTTAATAACCTGATCTACGTTGCATCGATACTGTTTGTAAATTAAAGAATAAATAAAACCGCTTTTAAAGTAAAATAAAAACAAAACAAAAATAAATTGAAAAAATAAAAAACTAACAACTTTTATTTGCTTTAGTAATAATAATAATAATGATAATGATTAGTAATTAATAATTAACAACAATAACAGTTTTTAATCTGGAGTATGGAATTATTGTGAAATTGACATTTCCCCTATGTGCAGTGTACTATTTTTCTTTTTCTTTTTTGAGTTAAAAACAAACCAAAATTAAAAGAAAGGTTTATTTTGTTAGATATTAATATATTTTTTTTTCTACATTTGAATTTACAACATTTAACTTTATTTTAAAAAGTAGCCTAGTGAAGCGATATTCTCTTCTGTCTCTTCAGCACCATGGTCAGCGCTCTGAGGCCGCCAGGTGTGACACTGCCACCTGGCGTTGGCTCGCTTTCACAACAATTACACAATGGTGATGCAGTCGTTTATTGTTTTAAGTGACTCTTACAGTGTAAAAAAATATGTGCAACAAAAATACCCTTGAGAACAGTAGCAAGGTGATGGAAATTAAAATGAAATATGAAAAGACACAGCATCTCCCTTCTCTGTCACATTTCACAGATGAATGCTCAGTTTGCTTTGCTATATTTTGACTATGTATGCATTAACAAAATATGGCAGATACTGTCTTTTGCTGTATATTCACAGAAAATGTATGAGAAGTAGGGGCTGACTATTTTTGGTCAATAAATATGACACCTCTGAAATATAATAAAAATTGTACCAATAGGAGTCACAATATTTTCTGGTTCATCATGGCTGGATTCACCTGTTGAGAGGCTCTGGGGCAAGAAATGCTATTAGGCCCCCCTATAGACCCCCTCTCTCACTTAGTGCATTGTTAGCATACCCTGGAGTGCAGCCTCACACAGGACAAGCCAGTTAGTGCTGCAAATTCATATACAAATTTCCAGATAATCAAATTACCAGCAGGGAAACAAACAGATAAGAGAGACAATTCACTAGACTGGGACCTAGTTTGCTCGGATGCAAGTTCAGCCTTGCTTCATTCTTTATATGAAAAGCTCTGAAACTATAAACCGTTCTTACCATTATTCTTTTAAAGAGTAAAAGGTGAAATTAACCCAGATTTTTGTGCAACAAAGGTCTGTTTTAATATGTTTTAATTGGTTTCTCCTGATTACATTTTGGCCAGACAAAGTTAAATATATATTTTCATCATCTATTTATATTGTTTTATATTTTCTAATAGTAACCTCAGGCCAAACCATTAATTTCATATATATATTTGTTATATATTCTGTTTTCCTCCTCTCCTCTCGCTTTTATCCAGGTGTCGTATTTTTGGTCTATTGGGCTTACCGTAGTATCCCCGCTTCTCATGACGTCACGGCTCGGCTTAAAGCAAAAAAGCTGCTAAACTTTACTCGCTGTTGAGCTCAGGTTTTCTCTGTTCCCACGACTCTAAATGTCTTCCCAGCTGTCAGGTACGTGAGTATATTCAATGGAAATATTCACATGCTGAGTGACATTATTTTAAGAATATTGTTTTCCGTTTAAAACGGCACGACAGAGTGTGTTGTTGTGGTTAACGGAGCTAAGTTAGCTAGCAGGACATTGATTTTATTCTGCCACTGTTAGCTGTGTGCTGTAAGTTAACGTTGCATGCTAAAACACGAGATACTGAGGGATTTCGCTGTTGTAGTTTGAACACTGTGAGAAAGACGGGGAGTCTTCTCGGCCTGCTACAGTGTCAACACTTGAATTTAGCGTTATACCTCATGACTAGTCTGTTTTGTCACTTCACAGCCTGAGGGTCAACAGGCTGCATAGCAAGGTACAAGCGTCAAATACTTAAAATACCAGGCAAAAAGATGGAGGACAGTCGTATTTACACTTGTATGCTTTTTGCTTAAGGCTGTTTTAATGGTATGAGCCCATTAGGTCCAGTGAAGGGGAATCCTAATGCTACAGTGTCATACCAGTGTGGTGTGAAGGACCTTCTACTACACAGAGCCCTGATCCTGCACATAGAGGATGACATATAACACAGACTGTGAGCCTTATTGCCTATCATCAGAAGCCAGCTTCACTATTTCCCTTGTGTCTCAATAGGAGCAAATGCCTGCAGCCAGGATCCAAAATTGTGCAGAAAACCTCTATACAGCAGTGCAAGCTTAATACCCATGTTCAGCTATCATAAGGCTGTAATGTTCAGGTGTCCACACACTGTTTTCGCAGACTGTATCTCATTTACTTACCCAACGAGATATTTTTCTCTCCCTGAGTTCAAAAGAGGTTCCCTCTGAAAATAGCCACATCAATGTAAATGTTGTCCTACAGGGTGCAGCATCAGGTTCCCTCATCATATATAAATAACTGCATTGCTGCGTTAGCTTCTCTTGGGGCAGGGGGATATGGAGGAAATCAAATATCACAATGTTTACCTTGATAACTATATTGTAGGGTTGCATACTGGTGCTTTTACAAAGTATTTACATAATGACATTTTTGATAAATACGCATCAGTACTGTGGATATAATGATTAAGTGGGTGAAAGCAAATAATAGAACAGCGAGAGCAGTCTGGTAAGTTCAGTAAATTACATCACTTTAATGTAATGCAGCTTTTAAAACCAGGAAAAGACAACACTTAGACTATTAGTATATCCAAAATCCAAATGATGTCTTGTCTCATATCACATTATTGATACATTGCCAAGCCCTAGCTTCTCTTTATACCTGTCTTTTTATCACTTTTTTTTCTAATAGCTAACTATTAAGTATTAGAGCTGCAACGATTAGTCGACTCATCAATGACTAATCGACTACTAAAATAATCGGTGACTATTTTAGTAGTTTGAGTCTTTTTTCATAGAAAAGTACTATAAAAACACCCCATAATACTCTTATTGCAGCTTCTTACATTTAAATATTGGCAGCTTTACACACTCTCCCATGACGCTGAACTAAAAAGTGAGTGGCGTGAGTACAAAACAAGACATTAGATGACATAATTTTGGGGTTTGGGAGAGACAGACTGACATTTTTCAACATTTTAACACGTTTTTCGATGGAATGATTAGTCAACTAATCGAAGAAATAATCGATAGATTAGTCGACAATGAAAATAATCATTAGTTGCAGCCCTATTAAGCATGTGGTTTACTGCAACACAGGTCAAGTTAGACTTCTGTGAAGTTTATGCTGCATGCAAAGATATGCAAACCAAAGTCAATAGAATCTGATAGAACTTAAAGTGGGTGAGCATTTCTGGAAAACATAGTGAATTGAAATGTGTGATTGTACTGATCCTCTTTAGGGAGATATATATATATAGATGAGGTTTTTTTTGTCCTTTCTGAATTCAGACTAAAAATGATCTGAACTTTAACAGAGAAAATGGATTTTTTTCCACAGTGGACATTAGTGCAGGTGTATTTGCAGTTGTGTGCCTTGACTGTGTCTCCACTATCATTACATCAACAGCTGGACTGGAAACCTAAAAAGACCCTGAGGAGAGGCAACCATGCTCCGCTGCAGGAGGTGTCGGAAAGGCATCATTGACTCAACATGTTTGTCAATGGTTGGTGAGAATTTTGTGAATCTGATGTGTTCGGCAATTTCGGTCTAACTTTTTGGATGTATTGGTTCATGAGCTACAGACCCCGCCTGTGAGGAATTGTTTGCCATAGTTAGCTTGTGCTGAATCAATAAGTTAATCAGTAATCAGTTTGCCAGTCACCAGGAATTTAATAAGTAATGATTTTGACCTTTGTTTAACCCATTTTACGAGCAGACTTTCTGTGTTTCTGGCTTCTTAAAAGTGAGGATTTACTGCCTCTCTCTGTTTTATTTCATTGTAAATTGAACACCTAAAGTGTAATGGCAGTGTTTTACTATTATCTCACTTTAAATAGACTGAACAATTCATCAATAAATCCCCCCCAAAATTGAGAGATTATGCAATGATGGAAATCATCATTAGTTTCAGCCCTAATCATAACTCATAGTCCATAAAGTTGTTTGGGGACATCAGGGCTGGGGAAACTCAAAAATAACAGCTTGTGTTTCAGTCATAAAAAAGATGGCTGGCTATCAGTGTCAGAGAGACTGGGTCTGATGGGAGCTCTTCTCGCTGATTGTGTGCCCTTTATGTGGGAGCAGGTTGAGGCCACAGATGAAGGCTCAGCTGCCGTTTGCAGTATTTGGCATGTCAATGTTGACACACTGCCAGAGTGGATACTGACCTCAGTTCACCAGGTAAGTGTCACAGCTCAGGAAGTGTTTTACTGGCAGTGAACACAGTTATTTACTTTGACGTTTTCTGGTGTAGATTTGGATACACTGAAGTAAAGTTAATTTTATTATGTGTGTTTTAGTTATGAAAATGAAGTCACACACAGCTTTAGACTTTATGCATGATGTCAGATATATATGGCAAATTCCATGCTACATTTTAATTAGATTTAAAGACATATTATGCAGGAACTTTCAGAAAGAACAATGTATAGACTTAAACAGAAGAAATCCCTCTCAGTCATCACTTATGACCCACTAGAGGTGTGTGGCAGTGTATTATTCTGCAGAGACTCTTCCCTCTACCTGAATTTTCTCATTTTGTTCTTATTTTATGATTCAGGACTTTATAAAATAATGACTGTAGCTACAGTGACATCACCTCTTAGTTGTGGACTGCTGTTTTATAGCCTCAAGTTTGGCATTACGGCTCTGCCACCTTGTTTTTTGGAGCCAGAAGTGACCATAATTGTAGGAGAGTTTGGGGCAGTGGAGGAGCAAGGGGTGGATCTGACTAATGGGCTGTAGTGGTCATGTTTTAGGCACAAAAACAAGGGACAGGGGAAGGTTTATGGTTTGAGTTAAGTACTTAACGTTGTCATGATTACAGTTATGATGACTTGGTTACAGTCAGGGAACAACCACGGTCATAAATAAAAGAAAAGCAATGATAGTTGGGAACAGGAAACAAATCGCAATGCTCCATGTTAAAGTCCAATGTTTTGACCATCAACCCACATTGCCGCTTTATAATACCACACCTGAATTCTTCTTTTGCACCCCATGGTAAGGAGTCATAACTCCCACAATCACTAGAGGGCTTTGTCACTTTAAAGGTCTAGTGTGTAGGATTTAGGACATCTAGTGGCGAGATTGGAGATTGACACCAACTGAAAATTTTCCTCTGTGCCAAGCGTAAAGGAGAACCATAGACTGTATGAAATAATGGACAAGGCTACTGTGACATCAACAATTGGTTTGTGGACTCTGATTTAAAGCCTTGAACTCGGCATTTTGGCTGTCACCATCTTGTTTTTGAAGCGAGAAGTGACCATATTTGGGAGAGAGTTTGGGGCAGTGTAGGAGCGAGCGGTGGACCTGACTTACAGGCTGTCGTTCAAACTGTCTCTGCCCTTAAATATGTGAACTTTAAGCCTTTAAAATGTAAACTGGTGAGTTATGTATGTAAAATTCAAGTGGCCATTAGAAGAACTGCAGATTTGGCCACTTGTTTTGGGACGTTTATGGGTGTGTACCCCCACAGCGCTGAAGTGAAGTTGGGGCTTAATAAAAATAGTAGCGACCAGGTGCCAGACCGTAAGCAGCAGGTATCCAAAAATGCAAATACAGTGAGGCAAAACGGTAAATGAGAGTGAATCTGGGGTTGGATTTTTATTGTCCCCGCATTTATTAGTTGATTGATTGATCAGTAGATCAACAGGGAATGAGTCATCCACAGTTTTAATGAACAGTTTTGATTAACTAATTTTCTAAAAACAAATCAATTTTTAAGATATTGTTCATTGATGTTTCTGTGGTTTCTTTCTAGGCCCAGTGGACTGTAGGAAAACTCAACTGCCAGCACTGTGGAGCTCGCTTGGGCGGCTTCAACTTCATCAACCGCAGCGAGTGTCCCTGTGGGCGAGACGCCACTGTCCACCTCAACAAAAGTCGCGTTGATCAAGATCAGAAACACTACGTTCTCATCGTCCAGCCGAAAAGGACGAGGCCTGAGAAGGAACAGGCTGTTCTGCTGACAGATGGCTCTCAGGACAGAGAGCAGAGGCCTGAGTTTAACAGGACGGCACTGGACACTTTACAGCTTAACTGTGCTGCTGTCATGTCCCACATCAGCCCCGCTGAGGCCTCTAACTCACTGACTGACAGTGAGAACACACAGTCATTTTCTTTCAGTCCTCTCTACTGCATCTCTCACAGGAGGCGGTGCAGCTTGGAAGACGATGCCACCATCAGGTCGTCATGTTTTTGCCCTGCAGGCCCTACCGTCAGCTCTGCTCTTGAGAGCACAAGGACGGGGACATATGAGTCGACACGCTCACCTGTCTTGTATCCCACGAGTCAGCAGTTTGACACTGATGGTGAAGCCTCATTCAGTGCTGTCGCCTGTCGTTCATTTGTTTCTGGAAGGACACAGTCACCTCTGCATCAACAACTGCTGCAAACTGTGGAAGACGCCGAGTCTTCTCCAGAGACAACAGCTGTCCACGAGGATGTGTCTGTTTCAGCCCTGTTCCTCAGAGGGAGGTCCATCTCTGACAGTGTGGCCGAGCCGGATGAGGAAGTTCTGGTATGCTGCTGGAAACAGGGAATTTAAAGAAATCTGTTTTTAATAAGAATTGAAGCATCATATTGTTTATTTCTTTTTTTACTTTCTTTTTTATTATTATTAGACTTTACATAATAAATAGTGACGTATACAGAAACATCCACAGCCCCTGTTAAGAATGTAGGCGCAGTATAGAATGAAGGGGCACATTCTGACCATTGTAGACTCTGAAAGAAAAAGCATAAGGAAAATAACCATATATTAAATGAATAAAACAGGCTCTTAATAGGTGTGTATGTCTTCCCTTCTCAGCCCCAAGCCTCTATGGCCTCCCCAGCCTCAAACAGACTGAGCAAAAGAGAGAAGAACCGTCTCAAGAGTCTTCGAAGGAAACAGAGGAGGAGAGAGCGATGGCTGCACAGCCAGCTGGAGCAGGTGAGGGAGCAAGAAAAAACGTTATTATTTGTATAGCATACTTGCACAGTGAATAAATATCCAGATTATTGGATCAAGGTTGTTACTGATGATGTGTGTGTTTGTGTGTCCAGGCTGAGAGTGTGGGTGGTTCACTGTTGGACAGCGAGGAGGAGGACAGAGAGGGCCTCACCTGCGCCGTGTGTCTCGACGTCTACTTCAGCCCGTACAGCTGTCAGCCCTGCGGCCACGTCTTCTGCGAGCCGTGTCTCCGCACTATCGCCAAGAACCGACCAACAAACACACCCTGCCCTCTCTGCCGCACCCTCATCTCACACACAGACTTCCACAAAGGTGAGCTTCCTCGAGAACTCATGTCCCAACAAAATACTAGAATATCAGACTGTGCTTTTCCTGATTTTCCTGTAAATTGAAAATAACAAAAACAAACGCACCCAATGTGTGCTGAGAGGCTGCACAGGATAAGTGTGTGTAGAAAATGGATTGTTAAAAAATTATTTCACGTTAGCTGCAGCCCTGCCTTCGCTAGACACTGGTCTCATTCCTCTGCAGAGCTCAACCAAACAGCGAAGACCTTCTTCCCGAAAGCGTACTACGCCCGCAAGCAGAACTTCCAGAGTGCTTCGTGTGCAAAATGGCCGCTGCCCAGCTGTTGCAAGCGCTTCCGTACCTTCTGGGGTGAGAGAATATTTGTGATAGTTGTATCAGCAAATTCTTTTTCTTTTGCCTCAGTAGTTATAGTCTAATCCTTTGAGAGTTAGGTGTCTGGATTATCCTGAGTTACAAGAATGCTGTTTCTGCAAAGAGATGGTCTAGTTTTATGAGTCATGTGAGTGCCATTAAAAAAAAAATAAAAAAAAATCTGTAAAAGAGAGAATAAGTGAATAAATGCGAAAATATGAAGACAAATGACAAACTCTAAAAGAATAAGTATAAGCATTTTTATTTATTTTCACTTTTAGTTTTTCATTTATTTCTGTATATATTTTTTAAGATATTTATATTTTTTCTGAATATTTTAGATTTATTTATTTTATTTTTATGTTATGACAATTATTTAATTTTTCCCCTTTCTTTTTTTTTTAACTGTACTTTTACCCCTTTGTTTTGCTTCTCCCTAATGCTTTTGTTATTACTTGAAGGGCCAAGCTGTCAGTCAACTGGCTTTAGGCGGGGCTTCCTGCCTGGGCTGAGGAGACACTTCTTGTACACATGAATCCAGTTGCTTTAGCGGAAACTTTTCAGGAAGTAGGCATGACGTGGACACAGCAACTTTGAAATAGACCTTTCCATGCAGCTGACAAGATAACGGACGGCGCACAACCATTAAAAAAATACTCCTTTCCTTCCCTCCCTGATTCAAACCACTACCACATTCACACTTGGCATGCACAAGTTCGCGTCACGTTGACTTCCTTTAGTCTGCGCTAAAAAGCTCCCACCAGCGTCATCCCCAAGAACTAAAAAAAAAGCAATAGGGAAAAGTAAAAACTGTAGGAAAAATAAAGGGATAAAAATAAAATAAAAATTAATTCAGTTATTGATTTTAAATTACATATATTACAAACAGAAAAAATAGCAATTTATATGCAAAAAATAAATATAAAAATATATAAATAAATACATAAATGAGGGAAAAAAATTTACATGTTGATAATTATTTTTCTGTATTTTGTTATGTCTTTATATTTCCACATTTTAACTAAGATACTTATTCTTTTATCTGTGTCTCTTCATATTTCTGCATTTATTTTCTCATTCTTTTACAGATTTATTCTTTTTTATCGCACTCCTATGACTGTGGATTTTGCCACTAAATGTTACAATAAAAATGTGTCTCTGTGTGACTGATCTCGTTTTCACCCTTCCCTCATGTCCTGCCATGACCTTTTTTTTAATTAATAAAGCAGACATTTTATTGCTTTTCCACTACAATTTAGTGGCAATAATAAACTTTATTTTACAGCAGTTGAAAAAAATTAAACCCTATAATCACCTTTAACAACAATAAAACAACAGTGATACAAATCCAGTAAGACAACAAATTGCATGGTGGCCTTACTGTACACGGTATGCAATATTCTATAAATATTCGACACAACCGACAAATGTCCGACACTGCCACTAGCAGTAACAATTTAAAATCACTTTGAATACAGATGGTAATTTTATCTGTCTGACTTCAGGAGAACAGAGGCAGGCGGCGGCGGCAGCAGGGAGACGCTGGCACTTTGTTCACGGAGGTTTCGCGCTGGACGCTTTGGACTTCACTGACATGCGAGGCTGGCTCTTCGACATCGGCCTGGTCATCGTCTACATCCACTCAGTCAACTGGATCCTGGCTTTCCTCTTCTTCTGTTTCCTCATGTACTACTTCTTTTTTTGAGACACGGGAGTGCCCAGAGTTTGCAGTGCAGGTTTACCTTTATTTTCTTAAAAGAGATTGGTAGTGGTCCTGGTTTTGCCAGTTGGAAAGAGTCACAAGTCAAACCTGTTATTTCAGTGGTAAAGTATCTAGAAAAAAAACAGGGGTAGTCGTGACATACAGAGTAGTGAGGAGCAGGAATCTGAACATTTGCAGGTTTGAAATTTGCGCGAATGGTTCCAGAAGTCTACAATATGTCCTAACTGACTACAGACTGACTTTAAGAAGATATCATGGTTTGAACAGGGCTGTTTTTTGCCACTGATAAGTACCCATGGTGTAAGTGCAATAATACATAAGGAAACCCTCATCAAATGTGTGACGTTTGGCAATTAAACAGTTTGGTGATAATGGTGGTGATGATCAGACAGACCAAAAAAAAACCATGATTAATGAATGATTTATGATGTAATCTGACACGTTTTTCAACGAGGAATAGTTCAACATTTTGGGAAAAAAATGCTTGTTGCCTTACTTTCATAGAGGTAGAACATCGATGCTCTAATATCTGTGTGCTATGTAAGGTGCAGGAGCCAGGAGGTAATTAGCCTAGCTTAGCATAAAGACTGGAAGCAGGGGAACACAGCTAGCCTGGCTGCGTCTCTTGTTTTTCGGACCCATTTTAGATGCAACCATGCAGATTTCCACATGATAAAAGCGTGTCGTCAGACATTAAGGCTAGCCAGCGCCATTTTAAGAGACTTACGCTAGCTAGCTAGCTAGCTAGCTAGCCCACTTATTGATGTACCCTGCAGGTGCCTGAAGATGTTGGCAAAATACGACAGCTACAGTAGCTTGGAAAACAGCGAAATGTATAGTTAAAGCTTGTTTTCTGGCAAAATTTTAGTCGACTTCTGCTGGTAGATCAACGGGGAGCTGCAGGAAGAGAGGAAGCGAAACACCATTCATCTGCATGCATCTGCATACACAAGACACGATACGTGAAAGAGGTAATGTCAGAGGGGCATCGAAACCCCATGTCTTGCCTCTGAAGTGAGAAATGAGAGGAGGTAAAGTTCCTCAGTGTTTTTTGGCAAGGGTGGTGTTCAAAGCCACTCAAGAAGTCAAGCTTTGCTGTTTCACGGGGCACCCAGTGTGCTGCAACAAGTACAGCATGCAGCAGTAGGCTGGCAGCTGGCTTTTGTCACATGGTCAGTGGGCGTGGTTTCATCTAAAGTGGGTTGGAAAAACAGCAGCCTGGCTTGTTCCAAAGTGAAGTTAGGGTGTTTTTAGAGGTGCTGGGACAACAGTATTTCTTGGCAAACAGCAGCAGGGCAGCACAGTTTCCTGCTACATCAGGTTTGGTACCAATATACCTGTACAGAGACCAAACCCATAATGCTCGCTTGACAGTATGTGGCAACCTGCGCTAGTTTATACATGTAACAAAAGAAACAATACAGACACGAGATCATTAATAATGCATCTCATCTAACTTTCTAAATGATGATGTACATTGAAATTATTCTAGACATTTAAAATAACATTTGAAGTGAGACGCACTGCTGAGAAAGTTTTGCCTTCACGTGTACAAGTCGTTTTATTTACTTATTAGTGGGGTGCTCAGGAATCAGAAATCTGTCAAGTAAAGACAGCAGCAACTATTAATGGATGTGTTTGATTGATGGGCTGAAAGGAGCAGAAAGAACAGACAGAAAATCAGATACACAAATGGGTTAAATACCCATGTCAGTACGGTGCCTTGGCTTAGTTTGTGCCTTCTGTCTGTCACAAGGAATATGAAACTGGAATCTCACTGTTTTTAAGTTTCAGGTCTCACGCTTTGAGTAGACACTAGAAGGGGTCCGTCTCTTAAAGGAAAAGGCTAGAAAATCTCCTCCCAAGATGAGCAAATGCTTTAGTTGAGTAAGTCATTCTGTTTTAATTGTATTCTTACAAGGAAAAAAATAATGTTTACATGTTGTTTCATTTTTCTGCTTTAATTAAAAAAGTTTTGTTTTCTCCATCAGTCAGTATGGAAACTAACAACAGGTCGGGCCATATTAATGGATTAGTGACAATGGTTCATGAATAAAAATGTATCTATATAGAGAACTTTATTTAACAAACTGATGAAGCCTGTTTTTTCACTGCTCTCTACCACTTCATGATGGTCGTCTAGTTTTAGTCAGTAGCAGTAATTAAAAAAGGGACACCTCCTCCATGAGTTGGGTGAGTTATTTTTTTCCGAAATATATTTAGAGCAAACAGCGGCTTTTGTTAGAAGAGCTAAAAGTGATGTTCAAACTGTGACACAAAAAGCAGAGTTGTAATGAATACACAACATTTGCTGCCAACAAACAACAATGAAGTCAAGCTTTTCCTGTATACAATCATATTTTCAGTAGCAATAAATCCTGTAACTCTTTCAGCTCATAGTTTTATAGCAGGTTTACTGTGTGGTTCAGTCCGTGCATTCTTACCAACACCATGCCTGCAGCAGCTGGCAGCGTGAGATTACGATAAACGTGAGATAAACCGCTCTATTATACAACTACTTATACAGCTAGCTTTGTCTGTCGGGCAAAGTTAGCTGTATGATTAGTTGTATACCAATGAATGAATGAACCCCAATTGAAGAGTGCTCCACAGATGACGCTTATTTGTAGGCCAACACGAGTTAAAACATCGCCCTGGTTGCCTTGACAAAAATCCAGTGGTGTTTTTCCATTGTATTTTGGATTACTGCAGAGAATAAGCTCTGTGGCAAACACAAGTTAATGATACTTACACATTTTGTTCAGCAAGATAATCTCAAAAACTAAACACCACTTCTGGTTTTTGAAGCATAAATGCAACCGCCAGAGGTTACAAGCTTAAGTTAGACTGTAAACAAACTACACTACAGTTGCATGACTTAACATCGCCACCACGACGAGGCTGTAAAGTCACATTCAGCATAATGATGTTCTCATGTAGCCACTTGTCAGCAACCATCTTTTTTAAGACACGTAAGGGCTACATAATTCACAGTGCCATGACACTACATATTCATGGATTGTATGTCATAGAACAAAATGTGAAAGTCTCCTTAAAAAAACCCTGCTGACTTTGAGACGAGAGAACCAGGAGTGCTAAAATGCTAATTTCTGGGGTTTAGGACTAATTCCTTTGCCACGCTATTAGCTGCATAACAGCCATATACTTTTCTTTTTGACACTTTTCCAGGTATTTTGCTTTATAATCTCACAGGACTCGAACGTCGCTCTTCCGGGGTGCAAGTCGGTGTTCGTTGGACCAACCCGGTCTCACTGCAAAGTTGTCAGAATCTGGTGCCTGGCCTGTAACTTGCGGCGTCAGACACAGACGAAAAAAGCTGTCCTTTAAAGTTGGTATGATATACAGCCAGTTGCCATTATAGTTTTAACAGCACTGGTAGCGCCGGGGGAAACTTGGCGGGACAGTATCGACAAGCACATGGTTAGGTTTAGGAAAAAAGAACAGGGTTTGGCTTTTGAACCTTACGGGACGCGAACACCGCTCTCTCAGGTGAAAGTCTGTTTGTTGGACCCATCCACCACCCCTCCTGCCTGCCCTACTCAGACTTTCGCCACCTTAACTTTCGTCCTCGTCCCACCACGTTCCCCCCTGACACCGCTGGGCGCCATTAAACTATAGCGGCAACCGGCTGCGTAACATTCCGATGTTAAAGGACAGCTTTTGTCATCGGTTTCTGATGCCGCAAGTCACTGCCCAAGCGCCAGATTTCGAGGAATTCAGAGTGAGACCGGGCTCCAACAACCGACACACCCAGGGTACCTTGCAAGTCGTAACTGGACATGGAAAGTCCCTGACCTAAGTCAATATGTGATGAGGTTGGAGTGAGAATGTGTTGGTTGGACCCATCCACCACCCCACCTGCCTGCCCTACTCGGACTTTTGCTGCCTTAACTTTTGGTTTGCTCCATTGTGTTTTCAACTGCCCTTAGACTATAACAGCAACTGGACGCTTATCATGCCGATGTTGGCTTTTTTCATCAGTGTCTGACGGCACAAGTCACTGCCCAAGCAGCAGATTTCGAAGACTTCAGAGTGAGACCAGGTTGTCAAACAAAAGAAAATGGGGTCCAGGCTGAACCTTTAATGCGTCTTTATAACAACTGAATGATGTATTATTCACCTGCTCTTACAGCCTTTATGATATTTTTGCATCACACACAAAAACACGGGGAAATAAAGACCAGGTTGAAAAATATAGGAGTGTCCCTTTAATATGAGACAGAAGAAACCGTGCCTGTTGTCTCTCCGTCCCGCTGATGCTCCTAAACAGTTAATTGTCAGTCGGAGGGTGACGACTTGTTTCGCTGTTGGCTCGTTCTGAGTCCTCCTCACACGTGAGCGCGCGGCGGAAGACGGAGGAGCCTCCCTCTCGGCCTTCAGGAGGGGCTGAAGGTGACTCTCCTCACGGCTGAGATGCACAGCGAGCTGCTGGGGGTCCGACTGGCCCACTACACGGTCCTGCTCCGGGAATAACGACACACACACACCTGAGGGTTGGCATCAAGCATCAAGCATAAACCAAAACCTGCGACCCTGCTGTGGGTCATTTTCTTTCTTTGTAGAGGACACAGCAGCGATCAGAAAAGAGGAGGGCATCTGTGTCTGCGTCTGGCCGGGCTCCGGTGGTGGGTGTGCATGCATGTGTTCTGCACCGTACGGGCGGAAAAAGCGCCCAAGATCTGCAGGGAGCATTTTCCCCATCAGTAAGGTGGCGCAGACGGAGCCGGAGCGCAGGGAGAGCACGGAGGGGGCCGTGGACGGCAGCAGGATGGTGAGCTCAGAAACAAGTCATCTGTGTTAATGCTCAGCCAGTGGTCCGTGTTTAGCGTAGCTCTGCACCAAAAGGACAGCTTCTATTTACCAAACACAGCCCATTTTCATCCTGTGCAGGTGCAGCAGGAGCGCAGAGGAGACACAAACACAAGTGCTGGGCATCATTTTGAGGCTAGATTTTTATTCCAGCCTTCCACTGAGGATGCTACTCTCAGGTTGTTCAGGTTTACGCATCATAATCGCAGGTGATGATGGTTTGTGTTTCTCCAGACAGTGCAGGAATTCAACACCCTGGTTGCGCTGTACCGGGAGCAGGTCATCTCCGTCGGGGAGATCTCAATCGACTGTCCGTCTCTGCGGGCTCAGATGCACCACACACGGTCCAAAGGGTGCTCCATGGCCCGGGCTGCACACCAGGACCTCACCGTCATCTCTGTGTCAGGGTAGGAAGGAAACAAAAGACTCATTATTATAAAATGAATTCACATAAAGCATAAAAACACACAGCTTTGTTTCCAGGCAGGTTTGATGGTATATCATACTTAAAAATATTATTAAAATAATGCATTTTATTTAAGCTAAATGGCACTTTTATAAACACAGTTACTAAGTGATTGAAAGCAACACACACATTCTGCTTTTAATTTAATAGTTTGCCATCACTTTTATGTTGACTTATATGCTATACGTTCATTTTTGTGTTCTCTATAACATTATGAAATGAGGCTTTAAATAAGCCCCCTAGCTTTCCAAATCCAAGTGTGCACTGTTTTTTACCCTTCACAATGCCACCACTTACACACAAAATTTCCATCCATCCATTTCCTGTAACCGCTTATCCTCATGGGGTCATGAAGGACTGAAGCCTAGAGGCAGGGTACACCTTGGACAGGTCTCCAGACTATCACAGGGCTGACAGAAGAGCCAAAACCCTGGGTTCAAACCTAGAATCCTCTTGCTGTGAGGCAGCAGTGCTAACCACTGCACCACCACGCCATCCCATATAGAATTTAAAACACACAACTGCTATATTTTGTAATTATAACCTTTATCTAAACAGGGAAGGCCATTGAGGGAACACCCTGAGCACCCTGATTGTTATATAGCTTGTTGATGTAAACTATAACTTTATGTGCTACAAACAGGCGGAGGACATTGCGACAACATTAATTCAGAGAAAACATACATTCACACACTGCGCTCTGTCAGCCAACAGGGATTTAAACGGACTAAAAGGAATTAGCTTGTTTAATTTTATAAGCTTCTGTTGATTGTTCCACTCGTTTGGAACATAGTATTTAAGAGCCAGTTTCCCAGTCTTGGTATTAATATTATGATTTATAGATAAATAGATACAGAGAAACACTTTTTCACATGGTAAACTTGTATGAAAATCCAACCCATAATTGAAGTAAAGTGGATCTCTGCTACTGTAGCGTAACTTTTACAAAAGCTCACTCTACAGGTTAACTGAAATGACATGTATGTTCAAATACCAAAGTCTGCAGCATCACAGGTGTGCCATATCATCTCGTTCACGATAATACAGGTATAAGTTTTAATATCAAATGATAAACTCATATCGTGATACTTGCGATATTATGACTTGTTGACCTATTGACGTCATACTGTTACCCACAGCAAAAACACGCATGTCTGAAAGCGAAATTATTACAGACTCTGCAGTGGCTCCAGCAAGAGGAGCAGCTTCAGTAGTGTGGAATAAACTGTGGCGTCCTGAATGTTTTATGAAAAGCCCCGGACTTCTCAGACACTTTTAGTGACTTACTGCTCAGAGGGAACTCATTCAGTGTGGCTCCTCTGGCAGCAGCACAGCGTCTCTCCTTCTCCTCTCTCGCTGTGAGCACACGAGAGTCATGTCGTTTATGTGATTTTGTCATAAACCTCTGGTAATGTAAACCTATGTGACGCTCAAGGCTCGACAAAAAACTACATATATGTGAATGTGCGATAGTTCTGGTATCATAACAGCCTGTCACAGGTTACTTATTTTGTTACAATACTGTTGTCTTAGATTAGAAACAAAATCTATATATTTTTTTTTACAAATTTTTCATACTGTCAAGAATATCATTATCGCAAAAATACCCTGAAATATTGAAATATTATTTTAGAGCCGTATCGCCCACCCGTATGCAGCATGTACTGGAACTTGGTCAGCCTGAATGTAAAGTTCCCCTTCTCTGTTTGTCTGACTGTATCTGTTTTCCTTCTTCTCTTTTATCCTCTCCTCCTCCTCCTCCTCCTCCTCCTCCTCCTCATGCTGCAGTCTAGAGGACGGGGAGATCCACCCTGAGATCTGTCGGCTCTTCATCCAGCTGCAGTGCTGCCTCGAGATGTTCATAACAGAGATGCTCAAATCCATGTGCCTGCTGGGGGTGCTGCAGCTGCACAGAAAAAGTACCGTCACAAAATATCACACCATTATTATGCCACAACATTTCAAAAAAGTATTGATTTATGAGAATCAAACAAGCAGAGATTCATTCAATATAAAAACCTCCATGTGTCTGATCAGTTTATTCTGTATATGTTTGTTTTCAACACTAAATATCTGCCCATCAATGAGAAATAAGAAAAATCTATAAAACTGACTTTTTGACATTTTGACATGTGACAGTGGGAAAAGCATGGGTGTAAATAATAAAATGATAAATGTGAACTCCATTTAGCTGCTTCAGCTTGTTGTGCCTGTTGTGCCATGATGATATCGGCACATCATCAGTATCGGCCGATATTGGCTTTAAAATGAAACATCATAATCGGCCAGCATGCTTTTTCTTAATTTGCACAATGAATGAAAAGTACTGTCGTACATTCAAAAGTATTGTATTTCGTGTCTCCATCTGCTGGTGGGCCATCATGATAAGAGTATTCATGCATCGTATGATGTTAATTGTACTGCAGAAGAAACTTGATGATGACTAAAATTGGGCAGGAACGAAAGTGGATATGTCGATACTGGTATCAGTTATCAGTCAAATGAGTTGTTACATATCGGCGTATCCGATATCACCAAAAATTCCAGTATTGTGCATCTTTAGTAAGCACTACTTCCCTAAACCTAACCTTAACTGCTAGGTTTGCAACTGAAGACACACTTTTCGTCCCCAGTTGCACAAGCCGTCCCCAGTTAACTGGTTTTAAGTCAGAAATGTGTCCCTGGGTATAGCTTAAGTTAGCCACACACAGGCAAAGATAGACATACACATCCAAACGCTCCATTTTGCCACGTCCCCTTTCATAACTCATGAACTGGCTGTCACAGGGAGGCAACACTGACAAACATTCTCACAGTTGTGTACATGAGTGAATTTGCGTGTGTTAAAATCAGTTTGACCTCTTATTTTCTACTTGAAATCCTACTTCCTAATTTCTACTTAAAGTATATTAAGAGTTCGTTTGCAAAAGCAGATAAGAGCCATTTTTGTCATGTTTATTTGAGCTGACCTTGTTTTAGAAGTTAGTCTTAACATGCATTTTCAAACTGCATATTCAACATTAGTACAATTTAAACATGGATAAAATGGAGGCAGAAAACTTCTACTGAAGTATCTTTCTCATTAGGGTTGCTCAGTGATGAAGAGATCAGAGTTGTGTTCACACAGTGTTGAAACAGCAGAGGGCAGCAGAGAGCTGTCTGTATGGTCAGTGTGTACAACATGGATTCATACTCTGACTTAGCTGGACTTAGAGAAGAGATCATTTCTGTTACATTAAAACATTACATTGTGCATTTTCAGTAAACAGGTCTAGCATTTTTTGACATTTTTTTTATGACTGTTTTTGAAATACTGAGCATTAGAATTCCTGTATTACGCAAGGAAGTCATTCATTTGCTGCTTTGACTGTGTCTGAGTTGTCTTTGTTGACGATGCCTCAGCGCTGCTGTCTCTGTTTGGACCCAAAGGAACAGACTCGGAACCGAGGTTGGACTTGAGGGTGGACGAAAGCTCGGACGTTCCCATCCTGGAAGACCGATCCTCCTCTCCCATCGACTTTCCTCAGGAGCAGTGGCTTGTGGGAATGGATATTCAAAATATAGAGAGGTACACTGACCGCACCTGCTTTTAAAAATGAATTCGCACACTGATGAACTGCAGTTGGTGTTTCTTTGTTTTCACAGAGATATGCGAGAGATGCGAAACCTACTCAGCAAACTCAGGGACACGATGCCATTGCCACTGAAAAACCAAGGTATGTCATGTTTGAGATATGTCCAGAGACGTTTTGGATATCTTTTGCTGCATTCTACTTTCTGCATTCCCCCCAAAATTTTATTCTTTCTGAAGTTTTCCACTTCTGAATACATAATCCAGTGCGACTTAGAATAGGTTTACTTTTGGACACAGCCAAGTCTTTATGCTAAACTATGCTAACCAACTGCTAGCCCTAGCTTCATATTGTACCCTACAGATATGAGAGTGTTTTCAGTCTACTGTTGCTTTAAGGCTGAAAGTTCATTTGACAAAATGCATTCTGGGAGATTTACAAGACTTCTGAGAAAACTAATCGTACCAGAGTACACATGAACTAGTAGAGATCAGCTTTTCAAGTGGACCCAGGAACAGTTTGCCAATCTGTGCCCAGGTACGGTACACAGTGTTCGCACTTAACAAATGAACTGGACTTAGTGGTCAGGTGAACTCAGATCCAGACCCAAGTCCCTGATTTGAAAGCCTCCTCTGCACCATTTGATACACATCTTCGTTGATGTACTTTGAATGTTCTTGCATTTTGGGGTTGAACTTACTGGGTTGAATTCACTTACTGTAAATGGCGTTGGATAAAAGCATCAGCCAAATAAATGTAACATAACATTGTGTTTGTTTATTCCAGACGACAGCAGCTTGTTGAATCTGACTCCACACCCGCTGGTCAGGCAGAGGAAGAGACGCTTCCCTGGACTCTGCTGCATGGTGTCTGGCTGAGCGTCTGAAGGCAGCACTACAGTCAGCACACATAGGAAAGGACTTTCATTATATTTTAGGATGTATATTAACAAAGAGATTCATTAATCTTCATTTTACTCTTTATTTAGTTACAGTATTTCCCCCCATATTATCTGAAATTGTAATCTTGTAGTACTTGTTATATAATTCCTTACCATTTGTCTTTTTCATCTTGAAGTCATTTTTTTTGCTGGTTGGTCATTTGGTTGTTGAATTCATGACTTATCTCGTCCAGCTGTGGTCTGTTTGGTGGCATAAAGATTCAAGCTTGGGTCGAGTTTGGGTGGAAAGGGCCAGCTAACAGTCAGTAATGCATATAATGAGGCAAAAGTAAAGTACCAGACAGATTGGACCTTAAAGACACAGGCGAGTTTCAGTTTCAGCCCTTTGCGTAACTCCATTTTGTTTTGCTTTTTTGTCTTTGCATTCCATCCCTCCTTTTCTTTCTGTTTTGCGCCATTTTATATAATGAAAGAATAAACTTGTACATATTCAGGCTATGCACTGGCATTTTTCATCCTCAGCTGTCTCACTGTGCTCGTGTCACGCCACCATGTTTGAATGTGTCACAGTGCGAGATGTGTTAGTGCCAACGACCTCCTGTAGTATTTCATCTGAACGTCATTCGGTAGAGGCTCTTGCCAGGTGAGTCTCTACTCGCCTGTACACCCCGTAGATAAAGCAATTCATAGACAGTGTTACGATGCATAGACTTAATTGGCTCCTTTAATCATGACACTCCTTTTTCTGTAAGAAAAAAACTGAATTTATTCAGCACTGCGTGTGGAAAAATAAATGTTACAAAGCTTTGCTTAAGTTTTGCCTTTTAGACATCTTAAGCATTCTCAACCAGATAACAAATGAAGATGCATAAAAACATTGGTCACTAGTCTTTTCAATACTTTGACATAGCCTGAGATATTCATTAGCTACTGTACTGGTCAGATTACTATGACTTTACGTCTGGAGAGAGGATGATTTCTAGTCATTTAGGTGACACCCTGAACTTTTATCTAACAGTGCTTTAAGACAAATATTTCCTGTTGACCAACACCAAGACACACAGCAGAAGACCTTGAAAAACTACCGGCTATATATGGCATTTTCATGACATTTTCTGTGGATATTCATGATCCGCCGGGGGATGAAAGCTAATAATCTTACTAGCATTAGCATCAGCAAGTGCCATACATTTTCATTTATACCAGGAAATAACAAAATCTAACACTGATATCAAGAAAATATCAAAGTGCGCAGATTGAACAGTTCTGCAATTAGCCCTCAGGGATAAATTAAGTATTTCTGATACTGATTCTGAACAAGAAAGGCATCAATCACAAGCCTTCTCCCCAGAGGATAAACCTTTCTGTAGGATAAAGTCGTACTTTTACAAAAAAATTTAGATGTTTCTGTTAATGCTTTAAAATGAGGGCATATAACTGAATCTACCAAATCCAGGCATAATAAATTCTCCAAGACTTTCTTATCATAATATCATGACTTTGGCCATGTTTACACGAAAATGATCCACTGAGAACAGAATCATTTCTCATTTTCGTTTTGAAAAAAAGTTCCCCATTTAGACGACAACATTTTGATAACAATCGCCGTGCACACGGATCCGCAAAAATGACCAAGCAGCATACATGCCAGGCCAGTAGTTGGCGGTGTGACGCTTACGCTTTTTTCTTCAGAGCGGCGATGGATAAACAAACAAAATGGCAACTGCACAAACATTTGTCTGGACGGACGACGAGGTGGAGTTGCTACAGTAAATCTACACTATGATGGGGAAGTGTTGATAACTTCAATAGGGTGAGCAGCACCATTGCTGTTGTAATGGTCGACTTTCTCGCGCATACCTAGTGACTAGAAGCATAATGCTCATGTGCGAAAAGTCTCCGTTTTCAGAGGAACTGCATATTGCAAGTTTACATAACAACAGACACGGTGCCGTTTCCCAAAAATTGCACTCTGGAACCCGTTTTCAAAACACTGCGTTTTCGGGCACCCAAAATGCCACTGTCGTGTAAACAATCGGCCAAAACGCAACTAAAGTTTACCGTTTTCAGTTGAAATCGTTGTCGTATAAACGGGACCTGTGTCTTGTAAAATTGCAGCTGGTGACACCACAGTTGCTCTAATACTCCTCGTAAAGAATAGCTGAATCATCAGTGCGTTGTCTGTTCATCGCTGCACTATGATTTTAGGGTGTAATGATCATTGCAGCCTCTAGGGGGAACTAGCAGGGCTTTTAGGGCGCATTCATACCAGGATAGTCCGGGGGACTCAGTTCGATTGGGCGGGGGATGCCGAAAGATTTCACACCTTCATTTGGTTCGGTTCACTTTCACACTGCACTTTTTAAAGCGGACCAAACCGCCTGGACAACATCACACAGGCCGTTTCATAGTCGACGCAAAGGCATGCAGACGCGAACGCGTTGGGACACATCGAGACGCATTGGCCGCTATGATGCGTGCTTGCGTTTCAAAATGTGTTGTCCATGTTTTTTGATACGCGATACCTACTGTAAGCAAACACCACCAGGGTTCACTTGCAAGTAAACCGAGACCCCCAGTTTTCGGACCGGGGTTCGCTCGTTTGGTCCTCACCAAATGAACCGAACAATCCGTGGAAGCGGACTGGACCAAATAGTGCCAGTGTGAATGCGTCCTTAGTCTTGGTTTTCTACAGATGTGCAGCATGTCATCAACAATCTTCCCTGAAAAAGAACAGTTTTAACTTTCAGCTTCAGTTTTCCATCATAAGGGCTTTGCAGATGTTCCACACACATACAGAAATGGCAGAGCTGAATAAGCCACATACATAAATAAACACACATAATAAACCTAACTGAAACCCATTCATTCATCTGAAGCACTCCACTAAAGCCATTTCCCATTGAATGTAAGTGTAATTTGTAAATTTGTGTTTGTGATGTTATTTCCTTTCTTTATTGTAATCTAAAGTGGTGACGTCTAAATTGCTAAATTCCTTGTTTTGGCATGTATATGACTCGGAGTATGCCATGTGTAGTTAGTGTGTTCTGCAGTGTAGAGAATCCACAGTGAAACATATGTACAGCTTAGGGCATTTTATAATGTGAATAAAGTTTTATATACAAATAAGATGATGCTATTTCATTTTTTATTGTCTTTAAACTTGAAGGAATAGTTCAGCATTTTGAAATAGAATCATCTGCTTTCTTACCAAGAGAACAAATACACATAAGCTGAAAACAGCCATGCTGGCAATTGGGTTTTTTTTTACTGCCATTTTCTTAAGACCACAAGTTAAGTACATCATTATCCTGAGAAAACAAGCCTTGTTATCTCAGGATAACACATAATAACAAATAATCAACCTATTATCACAAGAAAACCAAAGGATGTTTTCTCTTTTACTCTTATTTAAGCTGAAAATGTCAGATCACGGAGTACCAATGACTAACACATTAAACTGTACTTCAGTCATGGTCTAACACATGCAGAAGTTGCAGTGGATCTTACTGCTAGAGATCAGATCTGCCCTTTTCATTCCAGGGGACATCATGATAACTTATCTCAAGAAAACAGCTTTCTGTTTTCTCAAGAACTGACATAAACTAACTCATTAACACAAGAAAACAAGCTTTATCTCGAGATAACAAAATACTTAACTCATGATCTCAAGATAACAGGACTAAAAAGTTATTGTAACACGGCTGTTCTCAGCTTTTGTAGAAACAGACATGACAGTGTTATCAATCTGCTAACTCTAGAGCTCCTTTTCCCACTGCAAAAAAACAAACTCCTGCTAACACTTGGCTTTTTTTATTCAATGGGAAACACTCCTGGAACAAATGACTCAGCAATAGTCACTGTTATTTAGCAGCTCCTGCCCTGATTGATCGGCACTGATGTAACTATGACACCTGGGTGAACGCACTAAATTTTAGCCCATTTGCTGGCGTGATGCAATGACACTCCACCACGAAATATCATCAGTCTCCATTTGAGCAGTGCTCAAACATTGTTTAAAATTAGGCAGCACCGATTTCAGGCTTAGACTGTCCTATCAAATAAAGGCAAAGAGCCAAAAGAAGAAAAATCTTTTAAAGAGAATGTCCCACAAATTGCAAAAATAAAATAATAGATTTAGGAAATTATTTTTTTTAAAAAACAGGGACAAAAGATAGGAAAAACTATACTGATCATTATTATTATTATTATTATTATTATTATATTTTAAAATTATGTCACAGAATTATAATAATTTTTGAGCACTCGTTCCAAGTCATTTTACTTTTTTTGTTTGCTTGTTGTCTTTTTACTATGTTTTTTTTTTTTTATTTTCTCTTTTTACTAATTTCTTGCTAATTTTTTGGGTCATTTTTTCTTTCAGTGCTCGCTGCCTTCTTCCCATGTTTTCAAACAAATCAAGCCAATTTGCTCTTTTTTTTTTTTTTTGCCTAGTCTGCATCCTCTGATGGCAAAACTAGTTTACCATAAAGATTTTTTTCCAACCATCTATAGGCTTTCTTCATTTCTTCAAAATATACATTTTATATTGTTAATTTAACAAGGCATCTGTCCCATTTTGCACCTTTTCATCTGATAAATGAATTGATAAATAAATGAATGCCCAGCTTTTGAGCATTTCACACATCCATATCTTGTGTAACACTTTGCATACCTTTTTCCTCTTCCTAACACAAAGCCAAACAACAAAATGTCAATCACTGAGTGTAATATTTGTCAAAATGTTCCAGTCATACAGTACAACCTGTATGTTTCTATGCACAAATTAGGCTGTGTTCACTTTCATAACATGGACCAATTCTGACTGTTTTTAGTGCCAGATTGTGCAAATACTGGATAACTAAAAAAACAGTTTGGAGAGAAAGTAAGCGTTCTCCCCCTCACTATCTCTAACTGTCAAGTCTCAAACACAAAACATCTGGATTACGTCTCTGCAGCTGGGAAACTCCAGAGCTCTTTACTTCCCGTAACAACAAGGGACAAGAAGGTTATGTAAGATGTGCTGTTATGTTTCCTCATTATTCTTGTTATTAAGAGAAAAGTGCTTATTAGTTTGAGATGTTTCGGACACAGATTGGGCAATGTAAGTGAAAAAACAACAACAACTGGATTCCCAAGATAAATCACAGAGGGGGGTTTTATATAGCTGCTGATAACTCAAGTCAGATTCAGCTCTGCCTGCAGTGTAGACTTGACAAAGTGAGAGGACCCAGTACACAGTCAGCAACACAGGAGCTAGTAAACTGTGTGCATTAACATCTGCAGAAGAGGACGTCGGTATATGTGGTGAGTCAGATTTTGCCTTTTTTATGCATGCTCACTAAACATGACTGTCTCTTGCTTTGTGCTATTTTATTTATTCATTCTTTTTTTGTCTTTTTCTTGTTAAATTTCTTTTTATGCACCATGTAAAACACTGAATTCAACTATTAATGGAATGTGCTAAAACTAGAACTTACCTTGCTTTACCTAAAGCGCAATTTATGCACCAGAAATGAATGCAATCTCAATGTAAAACACATATTACAATAAAAATGTGTGTACCAAATCAAATCAAATCTTCTAAATATGTTCCAGAACAAAGTATTTTTAAGGGAATGCAGTTAATATTGAAGGCTGCACTACAGCAAAGAGCTGCATGCAGCATTTTGAACTGAGCAGAGTAGGGTTGGGGTTGATGGATGTCCTCATAGTTTGTTAAACTGTTCCTTTGCAGAGAAGCTGTAGAAGCATCAGGCCATCCTTTGGGATTTTGAGTATATTACTGATGTTAAGATGTTTAATTGGGAGTCAGTGTTGTGTGATTTTAGTCCGTTAGTATTCCTGTTTTTTATTCAAAGTACATTAAATGATCTGTGCAATAAAATCCAAACCAATCTAAATATAAATAAAAACATTGTTGATTCTGATCATCGGATTATTTTCAGAGGGGGTGAAACCAGTGTGAACTCCTGATGGCTCCCTCCAGCCGGTTACTTTTGCTGCTTCAGCTCCTCAGCTGGATATCAGTTGGCCTGGCCTGTTTCTGTGACAAGTACCCCTGGGGACCCTGGTCCGCCTGCTCCAGGACCTGCAACCATGGTACTCAGCAGAGACACAGGTGAGACACGCACATACACATGTGACATTGTAGATATGGATGACGGACATGTGAACAGTGCAGCTACAAGTCAGACACAGAGTGCAGCGTTCTGTGGTGTGAAGTTTGCAAATCGAAACTGAAAATAGAGCCAAAGAAGTTGTGAAACATTGAAATCTCTGCTGCTTTCACTTTATTGTTGTGAAACACAAATACCTCATGCAGATGATGCCAACAGATGCTAACATAAGCTCCTTTTTTATACTTTTTTGACAGGAATATTCAATATGATGATTATTACTGGAAGAGCAGCTGCAACCAGCTCTGTGACAGAAATGACAGAAGAGCTTGTAACAGTCAGGCCTGTCCAATCAACTGCATGCTGACAGAGTTTGGGCCTTGGTCCGACTGTTCGCCCTGCGCAAAGAAACAGGCAAGAAACACACACATGACACTGCAGAACCCTGACAGACTCCCTGTCACAGCTTTGGTTGCTATATGCTACACACTCGTTCTCAGCAGGTTTTAAGTAACTGAATTAAGTATACTCAAAGCACTGACCCTACTGACCAGTGCACAAATACAGGAGCTGCTCACACCTAGAAAACGTTAAAATAATTGTCAGATGGTTGTTAGGGCTTATTTGCTGATAAAAAATAATGTTTTTGTAATTGTAGAACACTGTCAGACACAATATGAGGGCTTACCAGTGTGTTTTGTACTTCAGTATAGGTGAGTATTTCTCAGACAAAAAAAGAAATCAGCATATTATAAAAAATTAACTTAAAAAATTAGGTTTCATTTGAAAGTATCTTTTTGTCTCTGAGTGAAGTTTCACGAAGCAGGTATTGAATAAGCTCTTTTTTTATGCAGGATTTATACTTCTACATCAAATCAATGCCATACCTCTACGTCAACACTGTAGCCTGACGTGCACCTCCCCAGAAATGTAACTACACATCGTGGTGACGCAGACCTCCTCTCTATTTTTGGAAGCTGAAACTGTTTCCCTCCCTCCCTCACTAGGCTAATTTATACAATGTAAAATGCCATAGGCTTGTGCTTATAACGTTAGCATGTTGTATTTGTTTAGAAAAGGTGTTTAGTATAAGACAGTTGTTTTGTCAATGAACCTTGTGAGTTGTATTGGAGCTGAATTATGTACTGTTACCTTTGTTAAATGTTGCTGTTGTCCCTGGTTTTATATGAGTAGAGGAAAAGTCTGCTAGCTGCTAGGCTAATTTATACAATGTAAAATGCCATAGGCTTGTGCTAAAAACATTAGCATGTTGTATTTGTGGGGAAAATGTGTCCAGATAAAGACAAGTGCTGCGAGTTATAGTGAAGCTGATTTGTGTTTGAAATTGTCTCTATGAAGCCATGTTTAATGTGTGTTTAAAGTGTGTTTTGAATCAACTAAACTTAACAGCACTTCACAGAGACCCCGTCGCCAGCTAGTATTTTGGAAGTGTAACTGCAGAGTGACACAGACAGCACCGCACAAGTATAAATGCTCACAATGGCGTAGCTCAGGGCAGAGAGAGCAGAATTTTGTCCTATATTTAAGACTTTCTATTACAAAATGTACATTTGTTGTGTCTATTCTGTCATTTCCAATCTCTGTTTTTATTGTGACCATTTTCAACTACTGATCAATAAGTTGGTCCTTAGTTAAGACTCAAAAGTGTCCAGAGTCTTTAATCAAATGATTCATAATCTTATACAGTCTTTCTCACATTTTGTCGCCACAGTTACGGACGCGTTCTGTCCAGAGACCGTCCCAGTTTGGTGGATCGGCCTGCAGTGTGGAGCTGACAGAGGAGAGGCCCTGTCACCCCTCCACAGAATGCAAGTTACCACCCGTGGAGTGCAAAGACAACTTCAAGTGTGATAACGGTCAGTAGTGTTTTTTACTGATGTGTGAAGGAAAAAGCGTCACATCCTCGAAATTTTGTTCGTTTTTATTTAGATTTTCTCAGAATTGTTATTTTTCCCAGCTCGTTGAGTGAATTAGATCAACATCCTTTATGTCACCCGACTTCTTTAATCTTAGATCTACTGACACAATGCACCCACAAACACACACACACACACACACACACACACAAGTAAAGACACATACCAATATTTTATCTTCTACAAAACGTCCTTATGCTGCAGGACGCTGCATCAACTCGACACTAACATGCAACAAACAGAACGACTGTGGAGATAACACGGATGAAAAGGACTGTAGCAGGTTCCAAATTGTGTGTCCAGCGGACAAGAGAGTGGCTCCTGGGGCTGACCTGGTGGGGAATGGGTAAGCTAGAGGTCAAAAGGTCACTCTTGACTTTACAACCTTTTTAACATTCCTTCTTGCTCTGTTACACTCCTTTCTGTCAAGTGCTGTCCTGGCATGTTTCTCCTCCTAAAAACATGTTTTTTTAATACGTCTTGCAGTGTTACATCGAATTTGAGTCCAGCTGTGTCTGTTGGAGCTTATTAGACTTTTTCCTTTGTTGGCTTAATGCCTATTGTACAAGAAAAGTCAGTAGACTTTTACTTTTCACTGATTTGTGTTTGAAGGTTTGATGCTCTGGCAGAGGAGCCCAGAGGAGCTGTACTGGACAACATGTTTATGGGAGGAACTTGCACCATTAAGAGGCCTCCAACCACGCTGCTCTACCACCGAATCCCTCACAACTTTGAGAACTTTGAGATAAAGGTAGTATTATTGTTATAGTATTTAACTATACAGCCCATTGGTTAAACTAGCCTGATTCCAGTTCTCTGAATCACCACCATCATCTCAGATTTTTTTCAGTGATTCAAAATAGGTCTTGTGTCATGCTCGCTGACCGCTGATTCCGTGGTTGGAGAAACAACCAACCAATCAGCAGAAACACAGGGTTCTTTTACACTGCTTCTTCAAGGTGGGAAGTTAACGCTGTCATGCCAGCTCTCTGTTTTGTATGAAAGGTACAACTGTGGAATGGGGGGTTAGAGTTTTCTCTCCTTTAAGGCGGCATCTGAGGTAGCAAGTGCCAAAATGATGTCTGTATTAACAGGACAGCCAGAATGAGGGGATCGTGGACAGCACAGATGTGGGATTTTAATGATGTCTTATGCGCGTGACCCACCGCGGGACATTTAAAAAGTAGCTGATAGCAGTTAGCAGCTAACTCAAATAAGAAGAATAGTGGCGGGATGGGAAAACAATGAGGTCCAGGAGCTCCTTAACCTCTAAGCAGAGGATGAGATCAGCCACTTTATGAAATGTGGCTGCAACGACTTTTGTGTTCATGTTGAACGGGTGCACGCAGCTGCACTAACAAAGATGTAGACTGATGCACATAGAGCAGGACCAAGGTTCACAAGCGTGAGTTCAACATAAATGAAAAGAAATGCATCCATATGCATGTTTTTATTTGCTGTACCGAACTTGCGCAAACCATGACTGCAAACCATTATACTTCTAGCAGTAAGCTACTTCAATGACGTGAAAAGGAAGTAGCAGCACTTTTTTTCATTCCAAGCACTGGAAATAACACCTCCTAAATTAGCTTATTTCTTTAATTGTTGGGAGAAACCTTCATAATCCCTACTCACAAACAGAAATCACGTGTACACAATGTTGGGCTGAACACAATTTTGTTCGTCAAAAAAATCTGACAATCCTGGTGAAAACTGGAACAACAACTTCTGTATCAGTATTCCTGTCTGCTGTATTATCTTTCACCACCAGAGGCAGCCATGATCACACAGTTTCACATCCTACACACAGAGGCTTCAACATGATAATATGAGAATATGTCCATCAGTGGTTTGCAGGCAGTCTCTTTTCAGCTTTGACTTTGTTGTTAATTTTCTTGTCTTTATATAGACCTTGACTAACAGCTGTGGTTGTGGTTGTAAAGGTTGGCGAGGTGGAGGACTTCAGCACCGATCCCCAGCCGCTGCATGCTGAATCCATCAGCGTCAGTCCGTCCAGTTCATCTGAACCCAGCCTAGAAGAACATAAAGTGCGATTCCGTTTCTTCCCCTTTTTCTACTACTCTGGGAGATTAATGTCACTCAAATCTAGCAAGGCAGCTTTTGAAGCTTCAAAGAAATCGGTGAGTGACTCAAACAACAATACAGTTGTAGTGATATATCTGTAGGAACTTAATTCATATAATGCATTTCCTAATCCCCTAACCCTAACCTTAACATAAAAAAGTAAACACCAGGCCAGCTATACTGCCCTTCTTCATCTCGCCCTTCCTCCTCATTTCCTATCTTCTCTTCCATAGGACTCCAAGTTTATCCGGGTGCACCAGGTTCTGCCTGTATCCACGTTCAAGTTGAGGGACCCAGGGGATCTTGTCGTGTCACAGCCTTTTCTCCAGTTTCTTCACGCTCTTCCTCTTGAGTACAACTACGCCCTCTACAGGGATATCTTCCAGCGCTTCGGGACACACTACTACAGCACAGGGAAACTGGGAGGCAACTATGACCTACTGTACCAGTACAGTCGAGAGGAGCTCAAGAGTTCAGGTACTGCAGCACAGCCAGGTGGTCGAAATTTAGAATGACACCCTGGACTGCAGTGGTAATTCAAAAGTCAAGACAGTCTGCTTTTTAATGCTGATTAAATGTTGAAACAACATTTTTCACTGACGTAAATAGGACTTATTTATACTTGTTTTTGGTTATGTTATATTCTGAGTACATTTTAGAAACGTCAGTCACCATCATAGTGTTCCATTGCACCATCCCCAACAATGCTCTATGATTCGGTTACACAGCATTCCCTACACGAACATTAGAGGAGACATTTAGAAGTTACTTTTAAACCTGTTATCTATCAGTAGGTTGTATCTTCAAAGGTATTTTGATCGTGCATTTGACTTCTCTATTCTCAGGGCTAAATTCACATTTCCATAAGTGTATGTATGTTACCTACAGGGCTAAATGTATACCTGGTATTGAAATGTTAAGTTCATATGCGAATATAACAATATATTAAATCTTCGTATCACATTTTTGGATGACAGTTGAACACATCTTCGCAACATCAATCCAATAACAAAATGGAAGGTTTTCTGGTATAAAACTAATAGATTTTACATTAAATTATAACAAGTCTAAAGGCCCAGACTGAAACGGCATCAAAGAACTAGTGGCAACGAGGGCCAACTGTGGTGTCTCCTCACGTCGCCTGTGTCTTGGCCCAAAAACTGCACTTGAACACATCACAAAGACTACAGCCAACAGCAAAGTAGCACATGCGTTCTGCACCTGTTTGAGAAGAAGAAACTCTCAACACCAGCAGGGGGCGGTAGTCTGTATTTGCCATTTAAAAATGGAAACCAGAAGGCCGAAGGGACGGATTCAAGACACTAGGCGTTTCTCGATCTGCATTCTTGCCTGTACTTGTGTTCTTGCGGACTTGTGAAACGTCATCAGTCGCAGCCCAAGTACTGTTCCAATTCAAAGTCTGCATCCAGCCAAATACAGTCCAAATGCCCGGATGTGAACTTGCTCTGCCCGTTCCATCGGGGATGCATCGGGAGGTGACTTGTGTGGACTTTTGACAGCCAGGTATCCAGAATGCATTTCTCACAGACCAGCGACAGTGCAGCCATCCTTGGGAGTTTGTACTCCCGAGTCGAACTTGCCAAGTCCGAACTCCGAAGTGCGCAAGTCCGAACTTGGCGTACTTGGTATTGAGAAATGCCTACTGACTAGCACATTAAAAACACAACCCGGGGTTGAAAGAACAAAGGATTTTTACTGTTCACTAGTGAGCAGTAACATGATCACAATCCGTTTCTGCTAAAAATCTAAAAAACAATCTTACTGTATATGACAACTTAGTTTCTGTCTCATGGCCTCTTGACTTTAGTTGTTTGCTTTCCTCACTTACTGTACGTTTCTCTTCTCAAGTTAAACTGCAAATCAGAGAGATTTCATTCAACATGCTGAATCAGCCCAAAAATCAGCCAACAAGGACAATGACTAGCAAGACAACTAGTGCCAACGGTGTGGGGCATGCTGCAAAAATTAGGGTGACAGAAGCTCACCAATGGCCTGACATTGACCAACAGTCAGCTTGGTGTGTCTGGGTCCTTGAAATCACAACAAAATCTAGAAACAAAAGTTTGCGTTAAGGTTATGTTATCTGATCTTTCTATGAAAAATGTAGTTCTGTTTCTGGGTTTTGTCGGAAAAGGTCAAAACCAGAATGTTACCTTTAAAGATCATTCTTTCTTCAGATGTTTGGATTTGAAATTGTTGGTGCACAAGAAAGCCCAAATGAGAGGACTGTCGTTGAATAAACAGAGCTAGAGGAAAATGTAGTGCTACACAATGTTTTGTTTTCTGTTCCTTTGTCTCTGCATCATGTTGCTCTACACTCTGGCTCTCCCACAGGTCAAACAACAGAGCATGTCGTAGGCTGCCTGTCCCAAGAGACCTCCTGGTCGGTCATCTTCTACTCAGAACACAGCAGGGTACACCGATGTGGCGACAACAAGATGACTCAGAAATATGAAGGTTTCATATGAAATCTACCAGGGAGCACACCTTCTTTGTTCCCAATTCTTCTGTTTGGCTTACTGACTGAATTCATTGTTTTATCACCATGTTCCTTCCTTCATTCATACCTTTAATATTTCATTGGTCCAGGCTCGTACATCAAGGCAGCAGAGAAGTCTTTCTCCATGGTTAAAGGGGGCCGAACCAGAGAAGCAGCAGCTCTGGCCTGGGAGAGGCAGGGCGCGACTCCGGACAAAACATCCTTCAAGAATTGGGCCAAATCTGTTCTCGACAACCCTGCTGTGGTCGAAGCCAAGGTTAAATCAAACATCACTGAAATATCTTCAGCTCCTCAGGATATTCAAAAAGATAAATTACAAAAGCTGATGTTGCATTTTTGTATGTGTGTGTTTCTCCAGGCGGTTGTCATCATAGATTTGGTTCGGGGGATTCCATGTGCTGCCACAAAGAGGAGACATCTGAGGAAGGCCCTGCTGCAGTACCAGGAGGAGTTTGATACCTGCAAGTGCTCTCCCTGCCCCAACAACGCCAGGCCTGTTCTCTCAGGAACAGAGTGCAAATGTCTTTGCCAGACCGGCACGTATGGCTCTAACTGTGAGACACGAGCTCCCGACTACACGTCAGGTACAGCAGGACTGCTGCAGAACACAGTATGGTTGGTGTTAAAGTTGAGTCATGAGAACACTGTTGCTGGTGATGAACAAGAAAATGGTAGGCAAGGAAAGTGTGGTAAAACAGCAGAGGGGTTTTTCCCCCATTACGAATTGCTGTTTTAATGTTTTCTTTCAATGATCTCTTCAGTGCTCAGTACTTAAGGATTATGGTATGACCTTTAGTTTTAAATATTTAAATTTTGTTTCTGAGAAATCCTGTTTTTCCCGTCGCTTTGGTATGGTGAAAAGATCAGTCACTGTTGCTTTGGAGAAGAAGCTAGTCAGAGGCGGGAATTAGAGGAGTAGTAAATGTGGAACGCTTTGTCTTTGTTGCAGTTGGGAGAGTTTACCATTGGCAGTGGTATTTCCTAATTGGGTGTACCAGCCTTGGCACATGTCTGATGGATTATCTTACACATTGCAACCATCAACACCTGCAATGAACACTTGCTTATGCACTTTTTTGGCTTAGACTGGCAATGTCAAGTTGTCCGTACACTTGTTTGTCCAACGGTTTGGTACATATCTTCAATTTGCTGAAGATTTTCATGGTCCCCACAGGAATCTTTATGAATTTAGTTACCTCTTGACATTTCCTCTATTGAATATCAGGCCAGAATTTACACTTGCACATAAGAAATCTATCAAGCCAATTGTCAAGAAATGTACTACTCACTTTCATGGTTTAAGGATGAATCCTTGAATTATACTAAGCCCATAACCTTTCTTCCAGCGTCCCATTCAGGGCAAACACTGCATTCTGTAGTAACTGTAAACAGTACCAGACCTTAAAACACCTTGACACATGTCATGTAGATTAGTTTGCACAATGTGCCTCTCAATATTTGCATATGCACTTTTGTGTTTGCCTAGATAAGCAGTCGGTTTGTCCGTCCAGGTGTTTGTCCAACGCTTTGGTCCATATCTTCAGTTTGCTGTAGGTTTTCATGGTCCCCACAGGAATCTGTATGATTTTGGTTACCTCCTGACCTCTACTGTATGTAATTATCAGACCAGAATTTGCACTTGCATGTAAGAATTCTATCAAGTTGATTGTCAAGAAATTTACTTACCACGTTCATACTTCCCAGAGGATGAATACTTGGATTTAAATGAGCCTGTGACCTTTCTTCCAGTATTCTCCTCGGGATAAAATCCATTTTTTTTTGTTCCACTACTGAAGAAGAGTATTTTAAATCTTCCAAATTCATCACTATGATCTTGATCCCCAACACTTTCATACTGTGGTACATACAGAACACTGCATCCTGTAGGGGCTGCTAGCAGTACTAGCCTTTTAAGCTGCAATCTAATCACATACTACAGTAGGTACACACTAATGCTAACCAAATTTATTTATGTTCACATTTGAAATGTGGTTTGGTGTTTAACATCTGCAGAGACAGTGGATGGTTACTGGAGCTGCTGGGGGCCGTGGAGTCGCTGTGACGCCTCAATGAAGAGACATCGGACAAGGCGGTGTGATAATCCCGCCCCCCTCAGAGGAGGCCAACCCTGCAAGGGATCTAGGAAACAGGAAGAACCTTGTCACATCTCTATGTTCAAAACGTAGGACGAACTCTTTGATTAACACGTTGCTATAGTAATCAAAAGTCAGATAATTCTTCTATGCCTTTACAACAATATGAGAGTTATACTTCAGATGGAAGAAAGTACTTTAACTCATGATAATCAAATTAAGACATTGTTTTTCCTCACTAAAATATTGATATTATTTAACATGATCATACTGCAACCACTGATGCACATTTAAACTCAAATTTATAAAATATCCCAGTTGTATTTTGTCTTCATACATAGGTGTATAACTTTAGATTTACTGTTTACTCTGTGTCCGTGTTCTCATGTCCAGACAGGAGACCTGTGACAATGATGATGACTACACTATAGGCTGGACGGACGAGCTGCCTCCTGGTGTGCAGGGCTGTCTGAGGCCACAGGACCCTGCCAACAGCTTCCTCAGGGTAAACACCAACCCTCCAGACTGTAGTTAGGAAATGCAACATGCAATATAAGAGCAAAACAAAGAGACTGTAGATTATTGACTATGACTCTGATAAAAATGTCAGCTAACTCACCAAAATATTGAAAAATACTCACTTCTGCCTCTTTCTTACATGGAAGTTTATTACTGCCAAGAGAATAAATACCTGTATGAAAAGGTAAAGGGTTATGTCTGTATGGAGTCTGGAGTGTGCCACTTTTGTTAAGTGTGTTTTTAATTATAATCAAGGGGCGTCAGTGGCTTAGTGGTTAGAGCAGGCATCCCATGTCGAGAGGCTCTGTCCTCACTGCAGCAGCACGTGTTTGACTCCGGTTTGTGGCCCTTTGCTGCATGTCATCGTAGTATCACTAATCAAAATTTTGCCTCAAGGGCACAGAACTGACAAATGAAGAGGCGCAAGAGTGGAGGTTGATTGACAAGTACTGTATAAACTAAAAGATGCCCTGGATGGTTTATATTTGCATCCTTCTGTTGAACTTCCTAACTGGTATTTATGAACTTCTTCCTCTGACAGAAAGCGAAGCAGTATTATGACTTTGGTGAGGATGAGGAGTTCCAGTGCTACACTGGATTCGAGCTGGATGGCTTTCAGTACATTAACTGTCTTCCTGATGGGACATGGAGTCAACCAAGTGGAAAATGTGTCAGTAAGTCTTTCACCAGACCAATGAATAGTGATCTGAGAACTCTTGATACTCACTCTCTACGAATAAAAGTAGGCCTAACTATAATATTTCTGAGTCTGATATCTACGTTGGATTAAAATATGTCTACCTGTTTTTTTAGGGAAAGTGTGCCTTCCTCCTGAGATCCCTGATGGCATGACGCTGTTCCCCAACAAAGAAGAGTACAAAGTGGGGGACTCAGTGGGTTTAAATTGTGAGGAGGCGGGACTGCGGCAGCTGCCATCAGGCTTATACAAGTGCGGCGACAGTCTCACCTGGGAGCCTCCATTACCTGCTGACCTACGCTGCACTGATGGTATAGTAGTTCACTCACTTTGCTCTCCCACACAAAAAATTAGGAAAACTTTCACCTCCAATTCTTTTCACACAGGCATGTCACAGTGGATCTTAAAATCTAATAATACCACCACTTGTACAAGAATAACTCATCAATGAGACGCTTATCTGAACCCTGCCACAATGCTACACTGTAGTGAATAAATATGAGACCAAATGTAGAAACAATCTACTTTATAATTCATAATATGAATGTGAATATGAAGACATGTTTCACTTTATAAGTAACAAGATGTAACTCTTCACATTACCCTTATTCTAACCTTAACGTAATACTTAATAGCTAACGTTAGCTAATCGCTAACTAAGCAGTAGCACAAGTAACGAGATGTAGCCCTCCCATTACCCTTACCCTAACCTTAGGAACTGCTCCTTTCAGTGTTGACTGGTGGGAAATGTAGAATTATCGTACCAGATACTCAAAATTTTCGTATTTTGAGGGAAATTATCGTACATCCGTCATAACCAAAATAACAATCCTACTGATGCGCTATAGGCAAATAGTGTTTACTTTTTTGGTTTACTTTTTTTCTATTTTCCTTGCTTCTTGCTTTTTCCTCTTCTTCTTCTTCTTCTTCTTCTGTTTTGAATCTCATTCTCGCTCGACTGACGCATCCTAGCGCCTCGTGGGGCGGGTACAGCTGACCATTCAGCCAATCGTGCTCATTGTTCAGAGACAAACGTCACATGTATATCAAGCTAAGCAAAGTGCAATTGGCTGGAAACATGTCACATGGGAACAGATGCCTTCAGGGCTCACAAAAAAACTCTGGCATACTGATTACAACCACACATTCATGAAATGGTCAAATTATCGTGCATTTGGCCTTTTTTGGGATTATTGATCGTACATCGTACAGAGGGCCAAATTATCATACAAATACAATAATTATCGTACACCTGGCAACGCTGGCTCCTTTAACGAAATACGTCATAGCTAGCTAATCACTAACTTTGTTTTGTTGGGACTTCTGCTTCTGGGCCAAGGAGCTAAGGGGGCTGATCGTGGCCTGACATGTGGGTATGGTGGACAAGTCATGTAGCTGCTCCAGCTGCAGTTATGCCACTCGAATATACATGAAAACACTTTAAATAAAGCATAATTTCATCCCTCCTAGTTTTCAAGTGTGCCATCTTCTTTTCCTCATTCCAGTGCCTCAGTTTATTCTGGGCTCATTACTGTTCCCTGTGGCTGGACAGCAGAAAACCACCACTGCATTAAGACCAGAACTGTTGTGGGTGTTTTTTTCCCCATCAGCCACAAGGGGCACAATGAGCCTTAATAACACTCAAAAACAGGCAACACCAGGTGGAAAATATGGTTTATCATCAGCGTTTTCTAATGCTGTGTTTTGGATGAGGACTATCAGGTTAATTTGGTAAATGCACATCTGGCTCCCCACTCCTGATAAAGCATAGTTTCTATGAGAAGCATTCAGGACAAATATACTCTATATGACGGAAAATGACAGAGGTGTCTTTTGTTTCCTGTGTGTTTCCTGTGTGTAGAGGAACCGTTTGTTCCCGACAGTCAGTGTGGTCCCGGAGAGAAACTGCAGGACTCTAAATGTGTCTGTATCCAACGGGAGAGCTGCCTGTGAGTTTCATAAACTAATTTATTTTATTGTGTTTTCTTTATCTTCATATCTTATAAGCATGACATGTTTTTAATTTTTTATTATGTGAGACACTTTCAGTGACATTTTGTCGTTTTTGCTATATAATTTTTTGTGTCATTAAATTAATAACAGTTCTTTTGTTCCTGTGTGTGTGCGTGCAGTTCACAACCCGAGAATCTCTGCATCCTAAACCTGGACGTTGGTGTCACCGTGCCAATGTCCCTGTGCTCCTTCCATGCTGGTCGTTGCCACGGTGATCCACTCTTCTATGTCAGTGACGGCGAGTGTGACACGGTGGCTGTGGCCAAACTGGAGTGGGCCATGTTCAGAGCCAACATGTCCTCTAAGAGCTCTGTACAGGAGCCCTGTGATCTCGACACGTGTTATGAATGGGAGACCTGCTCTGGTGAGTTTGACTGACGTGAAATCCTCATTTTACACTTTGCTAGCTGTACAACTTGCAGTCACTCCAAATCTGTCAGCACAAGTATTTAAACTACAAAACAAAAATTAGGCTTGAATATTCAAAGACTTCACATACATTATATCAAATAATTTTCCTAACCTTAACTCGTGTTTTTATCTTCAGCATTAAAGAAGTGCGAGTGCAAAGCTGCCCGTAACTGCCCCAAAGTTGAAGAGCACATGTTCTGTGTGAAGCTGACGAGGACCCAGAGGACTCGCAGCATGGACCTCTGCTCCATGGCCGCCCTCAAATGTGCCAGCTACCAGTTTGAGATTGTCAATGAAGGTGTCTGTGAGTCCAGATGATCCTGTGGGATATGGGTTAATTTGCTCAGGCTGTATTTACTGTGTCATATACAGACAGAAACAAACCTTTACTCATATCATATCATAAGCAAACATCATCCATTAATATGACAAATAAATCCATCAGGTCAGCAGACTTTGATGTGTCTGATGACTAGATGTGACCTATATTTAAAAGATGGAGAAGGCAGCAGTCAGTCAGTGAAGTCTGGCACAGAGAGAAGTACGTACACATGTTTTATGTGTTTCACATGTAATAATAAAAACTTAAAATCAAACATTGTCTGTTATCTTATGGATGTCGTGTGTTATTGTATCTTATGCTTTCAAACCTTGAAGTTCATTTTGGCTGGATGTCACAGTTCCCCTGAGTTGATTAGAGGGTAATTCAGATCACCTGTTGTGCAGGGTGTGCATACTGACGTCTCATTAAGAATGGAGAGCAGCTTGGTGCATTGTCTCCCTGGGCCAATCAGAGTGTGACAATGCCCCTTTCTGAGGGCTTAAGAGAGGTGAGGAAACACACACCCAGGACATTCTGATCCTTCCTCAATCAAATGCAGACCTCATGTTAGCAAACACTGTCAGCCAGAAACTCTGGTCTCTAGGCCCTTGTGAGAATTCAGTGCTGTCTTTAGCTGTGTTGTTTGAGGGTGATTCTGTGCACCTTAAAACCTAAGTTGAGTGAAAATTAAAGACTTCCTTAACACTAGGTCCCCTGCATCTGGGCTGTTTTTGTGTTTTCACGCAGGAGTTCAGCTCTCCAAATGCATCACATAGCACCCTCAGACCCAACATAACGCCTACCCCATACGTAAACATGTTTGGTCATTATCAAAGAAGCATTTGCTTATTATTGTTATGGAGGCATCTCCATTGTTAAGGCTCTTGTGAGACTTGTTTCTACAAGTGAATATAATACATATATACATATAGAATAATAACACTATCATTTTTTATTATGTGGCTGGGAACTGGTTCTCATGCTGCTTTCCCAACCAGCTGAGACCTGAGGAATCAGTACTGCCACAGCAGATTTCATTGCGTTAGATAAATAAAGCTGCAAATATGTAGTCATCATTTTGACAAAACTATTGAAAAAAAGTTGGGTTCTGAAATAATTTACTGGGCTGGCAGATTTTTTCAATTATTTTCAGATGACATTTTTTGGGACTCAGTTGTCAAGATGAATGATTTATGACCATTTATACTACCCCAGAGCAAGGGAAAATCAACGTAATGTTAATGACACAGACCACCATCACTATAGGATTTAAAGATAAGAACTTCAAAATGTATTGAAATTCTGCACTATGGTCTATTAAAATGGCACGTGTTCTGAAACTGCATAAAAACTGCAAAAAACCCACACATTTTGACCCCACATGGTCAAAGTAAGGTATTTTGAAAATCAACAAATGTTGTAGTTCATAACTACTTACTTGAAAAACATTGTCTGATCCATAAATCGTGTGACCAAGTAGAGAAATAACCCCTTAAATATACTGAGCAAAACATTTGTCTTTGCTCCGATTCTTCACATGTTGAAGTTAAAGATCTAAAAAATGTTTATGCACTCAATAGATACATTTCTCTCAAATTTTGGTCACACATTTGATAAAATCCAAGTTAGCACTTCTCCTTTTTCCAAGATAATCCATCCAACTGACAGGTGTGGCATATCAAGGTGCTGATTAAACAGCATCATCACTACGCAGGTGTGCTTTGGGATTGCCACAGTTACAGGCCTCTGTAGTGTTATCTTGAAAAAAGGCATTAATCTGATTTCACATTTCTAGCACTATAGAAATGCAGTTTTTGGTCACAGAAACTCCAAAGAGTTGATTAAGGGCATGTCTAATCTCAAAATGGCGTGCACCATTTTGCTCCAGTTTCCAGTTTGAACAACATGTTTCCTTTTAAATGCTGTGCCACAGGCATGTTAGGTGTACCCAGTCAGCAGCAGTCAGTATATAGAGCTTTACTTACTGTATACATGCTTTTTGTTTTATATTCCATACTTGCTTTGGCTATGTAAACATGTTTTCCACACCAATAAAGCCTCTTTGAATAAGACTAAATTAAATTCCACTACATTAAAAGATTTATCGAGATATTCAAGACCCAGACTGGACCAAAGAGGATGCAGGAAACACTAAATAATCTTTGCAAAAATATACTTCATATCAAGTCATTTATGTCTGTTATTGAGTCCTTTAGATTTTATTGTTCTCACTCAGTTCATTTTGCTGGATGTCACAGTTCCCCTGAGTTGATTGGAGGGTAACTCAGATCACCTGTTGTGCAGGGTGTGGGCACTGACTCCTGATTAAGAATGGAGAGCAGCTTGGTGGAACTCCCCTCTGGACCAGTCTCCAAATTGGCAGTTTTGTTCACAATAAATTTGCCCAGTTCCCCTAAGTTGACGTATGACACGCCTCTAGATGCTTTTCTTGATCAGGTCCCTGTGACAACATACAAGATTCCACATATTTACAATAACATTCAAAATTGTTCATCACACTCATTGTACTAAAGTTTAGACTATTTAAATCTATGAACGTATTGACCCTTCATGTGAAAAGTCATCACACACCTGCAACGCATGCACATGTTTTGGTCATGTATGACTACTGGACTGAGGTAAATGGGACACTTATCGAGCCTAATGCCATTACAGCCATTTCCAGTGTGTTTGATAGTTAAACAAAATCAAGAGAACAAAAATTTATTCCAAAAAGTGTTTTATTAACTTTCAAAAAACAATAACATTTCAAGACATTTAAGTTTTTTCTCAGACCTTTATAACTTTGTGTTAACTTGTTGTCTGACATCAGTCCTCCATGACATACAAAAAGACACCACATGATGACAGAGGGACTTATTTACATCATTCACAATTTTTTATTCTATTTACAATTCAGTCATTGAGAGGATAAAAACCAAGGTGTCCCTCTTATGTACAGTGTGAGACCGTAAAATAAAACAGCAGCCATCTTTATTCTGGACAAGGCTCAATACCGACAACATTAACCTGCTCCCCTGCACACCGCTTGGACCCCACCTCACATTCGGTCATCGTTGTGGAAACGCTGCCAGCACCAGAGTTGACGCACAAGGGGGTGGAGTCTTTAGGGCACTCTGATGCGTTCTGACAGACGCATTTTGATTCTGGAGTGATAAAACAATGATTATATGTACTGATGCAGTCACACACACATCAAATATATTCACACCACACATGTATTAAAGAATTAAAGGACTCTGGCCATCATTCCTGGCGCTTCGTGAGATCAGGGAATGACATCACTAAAAACTGAGCTAGAAACAACTGCAGTCAGACGATCAGGTCAGGTAATGGATAATCTATGGAGTCAGGACAGTGACTTTAAAATTTGGCATCAAATATAAAATGCTATTGAAAACTGAGATGCACTTCTATTGGAAAAAGGTTGAAACAAGTGTTGGATAATTAAATACGGTTCCGCAGACTCACCCTGACAGACAGTCCCTGGTGTACAGTCCTTGCATGATGTGGACGTCTTCTCTGGCCAGTCACAGTCGCTGTCATTGGCCAGCTCGAAGCTCCGCCCCATACAGCGCAGAGCTCCAAGCTGACAAACACTAAGTAAACGACTTTGGCTTGAGCTGACTCGAGCACACAACTCCAGAGAAGTCCTAAATGAAGACCATACACAGAAAAATGCAGTGTTAACTGTTTTCGTGATGTACTTTTACACCTTTGATCGGGCATTTCTTTGTTTGATGCAAAAATAATGATCAAAAATCACACTCACGAGCACTCGAATGGCTTTTTACACACACACTCGGTTGTTCCTACGTTCTCCCACAGCTTACACGTCAGGCCAGATGGAGGAGACGGAACTGAAGGTGCTGAGGAGAAAATATAGAAAGTAGGATTGGTGTGTGTACATTTTACACTAGACAAAAACAGATCATATGACTACATGTACTCTATGTGAAAGTGGTCACCCATAATGATGAACCCACGAAGAATTAAAACTCGACCCTGCAGCTCCCCCCAGCTCTTTGGAGCTTTATAGCAACTTTCAGCTCATTGTTTTGGTTCTCCAACTGCAACTTTAGTATATTTGTTCTCTCTTGGCGCTGCCACCTGCCAAATACAAAGTCAGTAACCAGCTTATGAACATAGTGGGTCATTTAGGAGTTGAGGAGACATATATTTACCTCAGGAAATGATGGAGGCAGAAAACTGAGCTCAAAGAGAATGAATATTGGACTTGCATTCACCACTCGACACCCAACATGATCTCATCCCTACTTGTCAGGTTTTGACTCTTGGGCAGAAACCCAAGCTCTATGCATTGTATCTCAACGCTGGGGGACGATGGTTAGGTTTAGCTAACAATGGTAGGGTTAGGAAAAGATCGAGGTTGACCTCAGTAACACCTGTCGACGGGTGACAAAATAACTAAGTGTTGACTTTCAGTTTTACACAGGACACAAACACAGGTCTCCAGGGTCAAACTCCTGTGCTTGTTTGATCCACCTCCACTCCCACCCACCCTGAGCAAATGTTTGCACTCTTTATACTACGTCCATTGCTCCCAGTGTCTAAGAATGACACGGATAGGTTTTCATTGGAGTTAGTTGAAAGCCTGGTGCATTTTATACTGATTTTTAAGTGTGTATTCAGAGTCTGTATCTGATGCCACTGCCCAAGGGGCGATTTTGGACGGAGGCTGCAACTCCAAATGAATTACAATGTTGTTTCGTTACAGCTGGGGTTGCAGAAAAAACAGATTATGCATAAGTTTTTTTTTATTAAAGCTGCAGTAATTGACTTTTTAGCCACTAGGGGTCAGAAAACGGCAAAATACGCTCTTACCAAACAGATGGCTATTGTTGTTTTTATTATGGCATCTCATTTAAGTTGTGTTTGTGTACTCCTGCTGAATGTAAGTGCAACATTTCGCTACATTTAGCTCTGGTTTGGTCTCAAGGAACTACTGAGCAACTTTGTCTGTTGTTTGGTGGTGGGCTAGTAGTGCACAGTGGGTTTATCAGAGCGTGTTTACTGAAAAAAAAACAACGCACCTGCTGCTGCTGCTGCTGCTGCTGCTGCTGGAAATGGGGTTGAGAGCACTAAGACCCAACCAATCAGTAAATGTGCCTCGACACCAAAACAACGAGCTGAAAGAGGCTTAAAAGACCTCAGTAGAGCTGCTAGAGAATTCTCTATTAAAATATTAAAAACCCTAACTACATTTCTGAGTTAACCTGTTGAACATACAAA